GCCCCGACCTGGACCATTTTCCATTAGGAACCTCTGGTGGGTTCCATGTTCGACAGGAACAAGTAAAACCACATATAGAAGATGGTTACCCAGAAGATCCTTCCATGCAGAAAGCGGCCGCAAACCGCAATGGGGAAACCTGTGGCCTGGGTTTGCAACCATTGGCTCGTTAGCTTGTTTCGCTTCCTTAACTAAGCGAAGTTGCTGGCCATTGAGGCACCTTGCTTCTGTTAGTCACAGGGCCCTGCCAGCCAGCCAGCCATCCATACATACATCCATCTCTGCGTCCATCCATCCCTCCGTGGTCCATTGCTCCGACCATCCATCCCTCCGTCCATCCATCTGTCCATTCATCCATCGTAGCTCACGTGCGAACCGTCCCGAAAAGCCAGCCAGTTGTGGACGCCTCTCGTAAACCGCCAAACCAGCTGGAAGGAAGCTGAACATGCGCGAAAATCGTCACAAAGAAGAAACGCCACAAAGCAACACCAAACCAAGAAAATATATACTGAACATGCAAATCGCCACGAAGCAACCACCAAACGCCGGCAAGCAAGCAAGCAAGCAAGCAGAGCAGAGCAGAGCAGAGCAGAGCAGAGCAGAGCAGAGCAGAGCACAGCAGAGCACAGCAGAGAGAGCACAGCAGAGCAAAGTAACAAGCAAGGAAGGAACATGAAGGAACCAACCAAACAAACAAACACGCAAACAGACAGACAGACAAACAAAGCAGAGCAAGGCACGGCAAGCAAAGAAACAAACACGCACGGAAACTAGCAAACAAGCAAGCAATCAAGCTAAGCGAGCAAGCAATCAAGCTAAGCAAGCAAGCAGACACGCAAGCAAACAAGCAGACACGCAAGCAAACAAGCAAACAAGCAAACAGAACCAACCAAACAAACCAACACGTTTGTTCCACATGTTTCCCGTCCCTGGGCCCCCCCCCAAAAAAAAAGAAAACTCAGCACGGCGCTCGCGTTCGGTGTCGGTTTCCCGCGCCTTCCGTGGCCGCGAGGTGCAGCGCCGTGCGGGCGTCGTAGTCCGCGATGTTCACGTCCACCGAGTTCTCGGTGAGCTGCTGAAGCCTCGAAGGATCGATCCAGCGGCTGGGTGCATTGTAGACCCAGGATTTCTCAACCCATTATTAGGGGGGTAGAAAGCAAACGCGCGTCCGATGTTGACGGGTCCCATCATAATGTTGACCCAGGATTAATCAACGCGTCCCATTGTTAGGGGGGTGTTCCCTCCAAAAGTGGTCTGAATCCAACCACTAAAAACCCATTGTTTGGGGGGGCGGGGGGGTGACCTCCAAAAGTGGTCTGAATCCAACCACTAAAAGGGGACACCTGTCTGTTAATCAACAAAGGGTTTATTAATCCGCGGGTAAAATTACCAGCTCAGTTCATTTGGGGACCCCATTCAGCCACAGGCCTCAACTCACACCTGTGGATCCCAAGATTGGGCTGCTCTCAGATCCTCGAATACACAAGCTACAAACAGCTAAAAACCGAGGAACCGGACAATTCGCTGGAAACCGCCAAGGGTGTCCCAGGTTCATCTGGGCAAAATGCCGGCCGTGAGCTGAACAAAGTAGTCTTCAAGAACAGGACCTTGAGCATGGACCTCATTGCACCCCCAGCGCAGTGAGCTCGTTCTAATTGGATTTGCCCAGGTCAGTCCTTCAACTTTGTTTGCAACACATCGCCACCTGAGCAAACCACCGTGGTTGCACGGACTTTGCCCAAGCGAAGACCTAGCAACTTAGTAAACTGCTCAGTTCCCGGATGCGACGCTGCGTTTAGCAGGGTTGGGCCAACCCCCTGTTTCAAAATGATTGAAACCCGTATGGCTTGAACAAGTTCCGTACGGTTTTCCTTTCCTGAAATGCTAAGGGTTCCAACATTGTTTCAAACCCATCATTCTTTGGGAAACTGCTCATATTTCCTGGGCTGTTTGAATATAATTTAGGAAAAGACTGACCACTGAAACGAGCAGTCAGGCACGGTGAAGTAAATGAGACTCTTCCCTGTCTGTCTGTAACTAACGAAGATGACAGAACCTGGAGGGGAAGGTTGTGCCATCTACGTCTCACTTTCTGGTGTGGATGTCCGGGAAAAAGTCCGAACTAGCCGTGTGCAATCAAAATTCCCAAAAGTATGAAGTCCAGCCACTCAGGGAGTGAGTAGATGGGTGTCAACTGTAGTTCTGCCCATCATTTGCCCCCCTGATCTTCCAAAGTCACCCGCCCAGGCAGGTTAGCGGGAAACAACCCAGTTTCTGACGTTGATATCCTGTAGTAAGGGGTGGGTTCCCCAATTACTGTGGATGGGCGAAATCCTGCACGACCTAAGAAACCTGGAATGATGATTCCCCTTTAAATGCCAACAAACGTTATGGTTTCAACGTTTCATTTCGTGGTGCGAAATGGATTCCGCAACCATGCACAGTATCACCGCAAGGGTGCACATCCCCAACCACCAAATCCAAACACCAACAAAGGCTTCTCTGATTTATTCCCCCCACCCCCCACCCACCCCCCCTCTGCGAGACTTTCGCCCACCGCGGACGTCCGGGAGAAAAATCGCCGCAGCAGAAGAAGCGCGCCGCCGAGGCGCTTGATGATGTTCCCCTCCGAGGCGGCGTCGCACAACCACCCCGCGGCCAGCTCCTCGAGATCGGGAGGGGAAATACTGGGCTGGTATGCTAGGTCCTCCAGTAGACAGGTTGGAATACGGGTGCCATATTTTTTCTGTAGCCTATTTTAGTAGGGGAACCCTCCCCCAAAAAAGGGTAAAAGGGGGACATAGGTATGTAAAGCCATGCCTGAGCAAAGGTGGTACATCGATATTCGCCTCCCACTGAAGCGCAACAATGTATACATGCATTCCGCTGTGGCTTTCCATCAATTAAGCTGAATAGATGGGGGCGATGCGCAGATGTACTGACTTACTCATACATACACATTTAGCAGCATGGTCGTAATGCTCACATGCAAGTCAACGCATCTTTTCAATTTAGGTAGTTTGAAATAGGCCAACCAACCATTTAAATAGGCCAGCCCGCCCACATGGTGAAGCCTCACGTGGATCGCAGGATGTTCATTCAGCTACTTGCGTTTCGGGTTCGCCCCTGACTCATACCTCAAAGTCGCAAATAGGACGTGTATATATATATATATATGTGTACATAGTCATACAACACATGGGTGTGGCTCAACGTTAGTTACGCATGTTTCATGTACTAGGCTCCATGTTGGACCCCTATTATTGAGCCACTGTCTATTCTAGCAGAAGAACCCTCCACCCAAGTTGGTAAAAGGGCACTGGGGGACCGAGCCTATAATATGAGTACCCACCACCAGCCACTGATCCGACCTGGGCCCCTGATTCTTCCGGAAACGTCGGCCTGGCGCAAGCCGCCGCGCTTCGAGAAGATGAGCTGCGCCGCGACCTCTGGAGCCGCCGGTGTGGCAAAATCCCCCCCGACCATCAGGGGGAGGGGCAAGGGGGTCCACAATTCCAGTTCTCTGGTCTTCCCCTTAAGGAAATGGAACCATAAATGGAATTCCAGGGCTCAGTTTGCTAAATGGAAGCCACCGATTTGTGCCATATCAAGGAATCATGATGGACATGAAGGATCCAAAGGCCAGGTGGATGACAACATCCCTCGCCCCAAGCAAAATAACCGGCCTTTTTAGCGGCACATTTACTAACATGAGTTGGACACATCCAAGTGGACCCCCAAAGTGGTTGGCATTGAAAGGGAAACCAGGAGGAACACCGAAGGCAGCTTCGGGGCCACCGTTTTGAGAAACGCCAACCGTGTTTGGGCTCCAAACCCCTCCTGACGGAATGAGGAAACTTTGTGTGGGCTGCTCTCTTTGGCAAACCTTCCTAAACCCCAAAGTCTGGGAGCACGTTCAGAACAAATGGCCTATCTGCTCAGGAAAGGGGTCTCATTCAGGTTCCCCTGTAAGCTGCTCGGGCTGATTTATCTTGCACTGTTTGGAACTCCCCCCATGTTGCATGAAACTCCCCCCATGTCCATGAGCTGTATAACCTTTACCTACCCACATGCGCGGAAATTGCGCCTACTTTCAACCCTATGTGACCCTATGAGCAGGCAGGGTCCTTCTAGGTGTTATGCTTACACAGCCTTTCGTTCAGGGCGGTGTTTTTGCTAACAGCCAAATGTCAAAGTAAATTGGCATGTAAGTGTATGTGAATTAGCTTTTGTGTTTCTTTTCTATTTTTTAGTCACAATGCAACCATGGCTTGTAAGAACCCTGCGTGAAACAACCCCCCTCCCCTTAAGGAGCTCCCCCATCCCGAAGCCCTCGGAGCAACCCCCAAACTCCTACAAATGTGAATATGATCTTTGGGAATTCTTGGTGGGCTCACTTCCGAAGTGAATGGGACAAAAAATTGTCTGCGCTGGTTGTCTAGCCTCCCAAAAAGTACAAAGTCCAGACTGGACTCACCAAAGAAAGTTCGAACTTCCTTACCGCACAAACTGTCTTCCCGAAAAATACAAAACGCCCAGAAACTCAGGAAGTAAGTGGCTCACAGTGACCTGTGAAGGGGGATTTAATCCGTTGCATTCTCGACGCAAACATGCGATGCGGCCGGCCGCCTTTTTCAACACGCAAGTCGGCGAAGCATCTTGCGCATTCACGTCCGCTTTGACGATGCAGTCGCAGGCAAGAGGGGTGATAACGGGACGTGTGCATGTGTGTGTGTACATGTATGTATGTACATGTGCGTATGTGTTTGTATGTCTTTGGTTGTTTTTGTCTGCGTGCGCGCAATCCCAAGCAGCTGATCTTCACTTTGACCTTTCGGGCCGTTTGGGAGACACACACATTTGGTCTGCCAGCCGAACGGGTCAGAAGACCTCTCTACTCACCTCCTGAGTGGATGGCCCCAAGAAGTGACCAAACTTGTTTTCATTGCCACTAAAATGGCAAAAAGTGACGAAAGTCCATGAACTCAGTGAGTCTAACATGGCAACTTCGAACCCAACGTGACCGAGTCAAGTCCACGAGCCTAGGCGGATATGCCAAACTGCCAAAATCAGCGCCCACCGTCAGACGCGCCAATACTTGGAAGGCGCCGGCTCCCGGCTCGGAGCCTTGCGATGGAGCTGCATCCACGTGTTTCACAAAAATGATGGTGTTGTGTTGTGATTTGTCTTTGTTGTGTTTGGTGTTTTCTGTTCATTCTTCTTTCCCTTGATTTGTTTGCTACATCCATGTTGTTCACACGAAAAAGTAGTGCGAGTGTCGTTTCCTGAGGTCTCTGGTTCATGGAAGCCCTAGTTGCCCAGTGGCACTTCTCCAAACGTTGCAAGTCGGGATCACTTGTTGGTGCAGGGAATGAGGCAACGAGAGCCGCGCCCACAACCAAAGACGGGGACTCTTTTGGATTTGCATCAGGGGAACACACCCGCTAGCAGAATTCAACGAAAACGGAATGAACAAAAAACTTCAATGGCAGCGCCGCACCCAGAGTTTGGAAAAGGTCGTTCTCCACTTTGCCCAATGGAAACAACATATTATGCATATCTATCTATCTATCTATCTATCTGTCTGTCAGTCTGTCAGTTTGTCTATCTATCTATATCTCCTTGCTGGGTTCGATGGAGTCAAAAACTCCTCTTCGAGATGATCAAGTCGCAAGGTGGGCTTCCAAAACAATCAGCCCGCCGATTAGCGGGCTTGCTTGAAATGAGATGAACATGGGGATTCCCTGAAAGCAAGCCATAGGGGATGGATGGTTTATTGGAGTCATTCCCTTATTCTCTGTTGAGTACCAACAAGTGATCCCGACTTGCAACATTTGGGGAAGTGCCACTGAGCAACTCGGACTTCCATGAATAAGAGACTTCAGGAAACGATACTCGCACCCTTTTTGTTCGTGTGAAAAGCACGCAATAAGCAAACAAAACAAGGGAACGGCAAACAGGAACAATCAACAGAAAGCAACAAACACAACAAACACAAATCACAACACAACACCATGTTACAAGAACAAGTCCAAACGACAACAAACTACGCAACCAACACACAAAACACAACATTAACGAAATTGTATAAGGCAAACAACATGCAATGAACCTTGACCAACTATGGACCAACTTGAAAGTAGGTCAGTGGATGGGACCAAACAACTCCCAAATTTGTTGAGTGCCACTAAGCTTCCATTTGCTTCAGTCCCCAGGACCCCCCAAAAAAATCATTTCCAGTAGAGACAAATGTCCTTCAAAAGCGACGAGGGGAAAAATAAACCCAATTCTTAAGCAAGTGGAAGTATCTTCCCCCCAAAGCCTTGGGCAAATGAGACAAAGGCAAGCCAAGTCTCCTCCATTTGCGAACAAGTCCTCTGGACACACAAATCCAGTGATAGATCCCATTTAACACCAACAAGGGAGCCGAAAAGAATTGTACACGCATAACAGGGGCATTTTCTGCCTCACCATATGGCCGTGGCTCAAAAGACCGGTACCAGAATGGAACCCTGGCAAGTGGACACATGGACCACAGCCTGCGGTTTGCCCCTCCAGATCCTGGGGGTTACATCTCTTCCTCAGCTTTCAGCCTCTAAGTTAGATCCTCCCACCCCCACCCCCACCCCCACCCACACCCACCCCACCCCCACCCCCACCCACCGGGCCATCTTTTCGGCAACGACAGAGCCAAGCCGCCGTCTGGATCTGCACATGGTCCAGCGCTTTGGGCACCATGAGCCCCACCGAGGCCACGCGGTCCCAGTGGTCCATCTCCAGGTGCGCGGGCTTCCTCAGGGGAAGAAACCGAAGCGACACATGGAGGCCATGCCTCGGTTGGCGTTGGAAGGGGACTCCAACCACTAAACCACAAGGAAAAAATTGCAACATGTTTCCCAACAACCACCATGATGAGTATGTGGGTAAAGGTAAAAAATTGCCCCCCTAAGAAAGAACCGGCGACAGGTCTTCGCTTTTGTGGAGCTGGGTCTCCTTTGGATTGGCCAAAGAAAGCTCCCATCAAAACCCCGAACTGATCCAAATCCAAGAAAGTGGCTAAAGTCCGAAACGGGACTCGGGATGTGAGGCATTTGTTTTTCCCAATCTCGGTTGCTTTCTGCTCCCCTGCGAAAAGTGAATAACTTGTCCAGTGGTTTAATGGAAAACCCATTGGCCGGCGAAAAGTTGATTTCCTATCAACCAAGCAAAATTCACCAAAGGAAAGGTGTTTGCTTCTGTTGAGGTGCGGGCATCACTTTTGGGGTCCCCCATCATCCAAAGCCTTTCAACATCATTTGAGGGGGTGTGCCCAAGCTTAGGACATACCCATATGTTGCTCTTAGTATGTCAAGAGCTGAGGCATGATGCAAAAACAGCTTGCTGGCGCGATAGGTAGGGAATGTGCAATGGAATCACCCCAAGAAAAACCATCCAACTTGCTGGTGGTTTCGCTTCCTTTAAGGGAATCCCCAGGTTCAGTCCCAGATTCCCTACTGAGCACCGCAAGTGTTTGTGAGAGAGCCTTTTTTGGGTGGTCTCTTTGGAAACCGTCCACCTGGTGGTTTCCTTAATTCGGGAACCAATCTTCCATTTGGTTCAGACCCCTGCAAAAATATATATATATATATATAATTATATATGTATAAATCCAGTAGTGAGAGGTTCCCGTTAAAATCAACAGGGGGAAACAAACATATTATTAAGCGAATGGGAGCAATTCCTGGGTTTTCATTCCAACCCCTCGCAGCCAACTCCACGCTTTTCAGCCGCGAAGGCCGAGGTGCAGCAAGCGGAGGCGCAAGGCCAGCTGCTGCGCGGGCTTCAGCTCATGCAGCATGCCATACACCTTAGAGTCCAGGGGGGAAAAAACAAACACAGCCGGGTGGGCTGGTTGTGTCTGCTTGCTTTGTGGAGAGGAAGTGGGGGGAGGGATTGGGGGGAGAGTCCTTCACAGCCCGGCTGGGCCGCTGTGTCTGCCTTGTCTTGTTTCTTTTGTTTCTTTTATTTTCGTGTTTTAAACACCAATATGTGTTTGTGTGTGTGTTTTTTGTTTGTTTGTTTTTTTGGGTGGGAGGCAGGAACACAGGATGGAGGCTGAGCCCAGGGAGATAAAAAGAAGAAAAACGGGCCCAGGGCAACCAGCGCACGAACGGATGGGCTGAGCCCAAGGACGTGTGGGCCGGTTGTGTCAAGCATGCCTTGCTGGTTTCATTTTGCGGGCATCCCTTTTTTTTGTGGCGTTGAAAAAAGACACCAACGTTTGTGTGTTTTTGTTTGGGGGGGGAGGGGTCCCTTTCACAAAAAGCACAACCACATGTGTTTCAATTGGGGACCCTTTAGCAGACACCATGTACATGGGGATTCCTGTCCAACCATTTTGGAGGCTATCCTCATTGAAATGCATAGCATATCAGGTGGGCCCCTGCAAGGATACACCGACAAGTCACCTCGTACATGAAGAAACCCTTTGACACAGCTGGTGCATGTGGAGTTTTTAGTTGGCCAAACCCTACCCTACCCTGGCAGATAGTACTATCAAGCCTGCACGATCCCAAGGGTGCCGTTGAGTCACAATGAACACAAGATCAAGGAGCCTGTCCAAACATAGGGAAACATATTCATGATTGGGATTGACCCGCACTTACCTTGATTTACCCGAGTTGTGTTTGTAGCTCATTTCGAGTTCCATGTTTCGTGTCCCTTTTGACTCCCATTGCGCAAGCCCGCAAACCTTGAGTGGATATTGCATGGCGCACGTGTTGCGGTGGTTGGTGTTAAAGCGCCCCCACCCCTTCAAACAACTGAAAATTGAGAAACATAAGCGAACCACTGGGCATCTACAAGCCATGAAAAGGCACCAAAAAACACAAAGCTTGCTCCGCTTCGGTAGACAGCTGTGGGGTGTGGACGAGGAATACCTTTCTTGGATTCTGCTTACGCTAGGTGGGCCAGACAGCTGCTGGGCGCTGACGTGTGGAGGAATGCCGCTGTTGGGGGCTCGGGAGAGAGTTGTGCTTGAAGTTGCCCTGGCTCGCAAGGTTGCCGCACACTCGCCGGACAAATTTTCTTTAGGGCCCAGTCTTCACTTGCTCAGTCTCGTTTCTCCAAGTCAGAAGAGCTTCTGCGTGTGTACGGTGTGGCTGACTATACAATGCCTTTGTGAAGGGCATTTTGACTGCTTCTTATCTCGCTCGGTGGAAGAGTGATGTTGCTGGGCACCTGACGCCCTTGCCTTACACTTCCATTTCGAACGCTCCTTGCACACACACTTAGCCGAAGCTATGCGGGCACGGGTGTCTTAGAAAGCGCTGGTGGCGCAGAGATGCGTGATGCAGCTGCGGTGCGGGTACATTCAGCTTGGGCATGTGAACGGGAAACCGTCCAAGGCTTTGGTGAAGTGGTGCATCTTTTGCCAGAGACGCTATTCCAGTATCACTACTCATGTAGTTTGCTCTTGCCCTGGTTTTCGTGATGCGCGGGAGGACTGTATCTTGGCCGGGCTGGACTGTACTACGCTGAGTTTCCTCACAGTTTCCCCGCATCATCTGGGCTTCGAGGCTATCACCAGGCTGGCGCAGGAAATTTGTAGCAGAGCAGACACCTTCTGGCGAATCACTTGACTTCACAGCTGGTGGTGGGCGCTAGGGGGGCGGAGCGCAGTAACTGCGGTGCTGCGCTGCTGACCCTGCGCTGCGGACCCCGCCGCACTACATCACATTGTAGTGAAAGCTGCTGTTTTGCTTTGTCCGCGAGCTTGTCCTGCAGGACTGTAAACCAACCAACCAACCAACCATGGCGCCCAAGTCTCACCTTTAACCAGGGGCAACTGCTGGTTTCTACATGCTGGTGACCGTACATCCCAAAACCGCGTGCTCCAGAGGACAATCCTCTACATAAATCCAGCAAAAGGGCTTCTCTAACTGGCCCAACGTATCCTTCAAGGGACCCTCGACCACCTAGTCTTCGAACAAGCTCCTTTTGCTTTCCCCCTGCATTTCGCCAGCAACCCTGCTTGCAAAGACCTGGATTGCATCCTCTTAACAGGCCAATGGAAACCAAAAGATCAAGTCCCTTTACGCTTCGATGAAGAAGCACATCCTGGGTTCTTGGATTCTGCGAGTTAAGAAGCTGACCAACATGACACGCGGACAAACATCCCAGGATTGGCTCAGATGCCCAATAAAAGGATAGCCTTTTAGAACCTTGACTAAATATCTTGGGGTTGTCCCGTTTGGCGCGTTGAGCCCAGCCAAAGCGAGAAAGAGCCACTCGCTCACCAACCGAGGCACGGTGCGCGAGTTGGATTGCACCAAGGTCCCATTTAGGATGTTCAGGTACGAGGCGCCAACCGGCACACCTCAATACGAGGCTAAGTTGGCTTGGTTGCTGCAACGACCCTTCTACAAAAAGTTGAAGACTTTTGCGGGTCCAATAGGGAAAATCTGACCCGTTTTAAGAAAAAAAGAAGGTAAAAGTCCAAAGATCCCTCACCTAAAGCCACAAAGACATGAGGAGCCTGCTTTTTCCAACCCAAGACTCATTTCCAGTTGGCCTCAATTTTACCTGTTGGCTACCAAAAAAAGGGGAGACAGGTTGGGGGCCTTTCAAAACGCAAGGTCCCGAACAGGACCTTACCTCTTGGGCCGAGGGCGGTCTCCAAACACGATCAAAAGCTGCGGGCTTGGTCCTGTGGGGCCTCCTTTCAACTCCCGGCGCGTCACGGAAGGCTGCTCCATGCAGGCCCCCACGAAAAGCGATGACCAAAACAAGAACACCGGTTCACAGCCGAAACAGGTGCGAAACACGTGCGACGCAATGCATTTTAGCCTATGTCCTTTCAATTTTCAGAACTCCGGGTGGTCCCCTAGCTCCCCTTTAAAAGCAAAGTTGGATGAAAGTTGGCTCCCTTACAACCACCAGAAAGTAGCCCTCGAGCAACTGAGAAACCAGCGCAAACTTGGCATTGAACAACTGGGAACTGTGAGGCTGCGCTGCAAACATGTGCTAACAGGAAGGCAGGTCGGATCGGTCCGGAAAAAAAACGCAAAACACAGGTGGCTACGTCTGAACAGGAAAAGGCTGCTGCTTCAGCCGAAAGCCAACATGGGACCAAGCACTCGGAAGGGCGGCATATCTCAAGTTCTTGGCCAGAGACATGCGCAGAAACTTTCTTAGAAAAAGCGCGGGAAACGGAACTTCAGTGGTTGGACGATGCCCCGCTGATGTACTGGACAAAAAGCGTTGCGCAAGCCTGCCAAGCCCGATGCCTGCGCAAAATGCGACAATTCGCTCACCTGATGATAAAGAAATCCCGAGACCTCCATCATGGGCGAGCTTGTTACATTGTTCCCGCCCCGATCGGGGACCTCGCTCGATCTGGTAACCTGGCCTGGCAGAATCTCCTCTGAGTGATTGTAGAAGTACCAGGGCGCTCTTGCCTGGCATTGTTGTGGAGGCGTAGCGGCTTAAAGGAAGGACAGAACACATTCACCTCACTTCCTGAGTGGATTGGCCAAACAAAGTCTGAGCTTTTTTTTCACCACCAGCACGGTCTTCCAAGAAAGTTTAAAGTCCATGAGCTCTGCTTGACAGGGACCTAAACAGAGGGAAGCGTCCTTAGACTTGTTGGGTGTGAGGACATCAATATTCGGGATTCAGGCTACCACCACTGGTACCCCCTGGCGCCTCGAAATCGAAAGGCACCTGGCCAGGCAGAATCCTGGGGATCTTCTCCTCCTTCTGCTCCTTCCTCAGGCTGCGGCGCAGTCTGAAGGAGAAAGGCGACACAATCAACACGTGTTTTGTTGCAGAAGTGGCTGTGAATATGTTTTTTTCCCCGATGCTATCCTATGTGAGACGGGCAAGGTGGCCCAAAGAAGTTTTAATCACAAGTGAAAGCAAGTGGATGATATTGAATTGCATCTTTGACCGAGAAGAAAGGCAACCGTTGCCAGCCGCAACGTGGTGGATCCTGCAAACGGTGGTCTGACCCGCCTCCAAAGGTCATAGCCCACACTTAGTCATCCCAAACTGCTTTGATTTGACCAGGGCGTATATGGCTGTGGTTTTGCATTTGTAGGTTGGTTTCTTTTGGATTTCCTGAAAAACTGCCCAGAAAGAGGTTCAGTCTGAGACCGAGCCGTATATGCCCTGGTCAAATCAAAGCAGTTTGGGACTAAGTGTGGGCTATGACCTTTGGGGGGTCAGACCTGGCGTTTTCAGGTGTCTGACTTTTCCGGTTTTGCTCAAAGGGAGTCTTATCAGGAAAGCCGTTCTGGTCCCCCTGTTCTGGGTAGCTTTGCGGTGTTCAGAAGATCGGCTGTTCGGAGAAAGGGGGGCTGAGTGACTCAGCTTCCTTTTGGGGACCAAATTCAGTGGTTCAAGTGCATGGGGTCACTCAGCTTCCTGTTTGGGGAGAACACCTTAGCTTAAGTCGATCTTGGGCCGCTTTGGGCTCGCTTTCGAACGAGTGGATGGGCCGAAACTAACCAAACCTGCCGTTGATTCCTAACATGGTAACCCGAAACGTGGCCCAAGTCCGAAGCGGAACGCAGGGAGTGACGTGATGTGAAAGCGCTACACTTTTCAGAACGTGCCGTCGCAAGAACTTCGGCCCCACAAAAATTCATGGAACCCACATGGGCTTTTTTCGAAGTTCATGGAACCCACGGCGGCTCCTGCAGGGATGTCCGGATTTCCCCGAATCAAGTTGCTCACCGGCTCAATGTACTGGTCCCCTAAAAATTTCTTCCCCAAGCCAACCAGTTGCTCAACGTGCTGCTATCCTCCATCGAAAGGATCGCCCACTTGGGGTTCCTCTGCCAAGCTGCCGTGCCTCTGGGGAGGTCAGCCAGTCGTTTCCGAGGTCTTGCACTTTGGCCGGCGGCCTCGCGAATGCCAAGCACTTGGCTCCAGGGGTCGGTGGTTTACTAGGGGTCGGTAACCGTTGCGTGGGGTTCGCTTTAAAGGGAAACCAAAAGGAAGAACATAATTTTAGGGGTTCCACCATGTTGACAAATGCCGAGACATGTTGCCGAAACATGATTGAACCAATATTCATGCACACTCTCCTTTTGGCTTCACATGAAGGAGCGTCATATGGTTACGCATTTTACCCCACCCTAAAAATTGGGACAGGACAAACATAGGTCCGCTGACAAACATAGAAGTCACATCGTTTGACTCGTCGATATACTCTTTATTGCCCAAATCGAGGGACGGGCGTCAAAGAGAAATGGGTTTGTCGCCTGGTCTGCGTGTCTGTGCGCGGGTGTGCGCCTACGTGCGCGCGCACCCGCGCATTTGTGTCTGTGTGCAAGTGTGTGTCTGTGTGTCTGCGGCGTCTGTGCGTCTGTTTGTTTGTGTGTCTGTGTGTGCGCGTGCGCGCGTTGCTCACTTGGATGGATTGCCGAACAAAAGTCCGAACTTGCTGTTCGCAAGATAAATTCGGTCCTCCCAAGTAAGAAGCCCGGGAGCTCGGGGAGTGAGGTATCAGGGGACCTTAAGCAGTTTTGAGCAAGCGGGCTCGCACCGAGCCACAATCATGCGCGTAGCATCTTGGAACCCAACTTGCTAGAATCCATTGGGCTTGACCCAACTCTGGAACACGCAGAAAACAGCAGCTTCTGCTCCTGGTCTAAACTTACTAGGTTTCGTCCACCCACCGTACTTAAGACAAAAAAAAAACAAAAAAACGTGCGAGTTTTGGAGCAGACCCCGCTCAGGGCCTCCAAAGCCCCAAATGCCCAGCGGCCAGGGAAACAAAGGGCATCATTTCATTGGTTGACTTTATGTAAAGGGAACCCTTCCCCCCAAAGACGAAGGTAAGAAGGGCACTGGGCAACTGGGAAGCTCTGGGCCTTCCACTTGGTGGACGTTGGAAGGGGAGAAAGAAAAATAGCAGTTAAGTGGGGGTTTCAACCACTAAACCCAACAAATGTAAAATGTAAAATGTCTCCCAACAACAACCTGCCCTGGTGGGTTCCATGGCAACATGGACCAACGGCTATGGGTTTTGAAAGTGTCCAGGTTACATGCAAGGCTTCACCAAACCCGGGTAACATATCCCGACTGCTGCTGTCTTCCACCCAGAAGAGGGTGGTAAGTGTGGATGGGCCCAGTCCTGCACCACTTCCCTCCTGGCCTCAGCGCCTTGGGGTCGCTGCAGCCCTGGCGCAGCGCCAGCTGCGCCTTGGAGGAGGCCCTGGGCGCCGCCAGCGCGGCGCTCACCGCGGGCGCGGCGTAGAGCAGCAGGTTGGAGCTGACGGCGAGCATCGCCACGTCCTCGCAACCGACGTTGGTGCTTGAACTTGCTCCCTTTTAACTGTGGGTGCGGATTTACTTTGACTTTGTATTGTTTTATCTATTCAATATTTATTTAGTGTTCTTCTTCTTCTTCTTTTTTTTTTTTTTGGGGGGGGGGGGGGTTGTGTGTTTGTGTTTTGTGTTTTCCGATTTTTTGTCTTGGCCAGTAAAATGTCGTATTTACAGCTTGAACTTGCTCCCGTTTGACTCACTTCCGAGCAGTGGACTGTCTTTCGAAGGGAAGTCAAAGTGGGGTGAGTTTACAAAGAAGTCAAAAGGAACAAGAACCGCTGGGCGCCCTCAATTGCAAACAAACCTACGGAGGAAAGTGCTGGGCTTCGTCAAAGGAGCCTTCTAACTCATGTTTTGATGGGTCGAGGGCAGGGAACCGCTCGGGGGGGGGGGGAACTTCGCATGCGTTCAAGAAGCAGCAGGCAGCAGAGTGCGGAGTGCAGCCCAAAGTTCATCCCCAATCTTGTGCTCAGAAACGATGTGTGTGAAGCGCCGGGTCTTTGCCAAAACAGCAAAACCGTGTGTATGTGTGTGTGTGCGTTTGTGAAAAATTGGGCAGGTTCCTGCCATGCATGGCCAGTCATTGCCACCTGCCACCTGCTCATACCTGTTCAAGCTCATTGCCAACCAAATCTAAAACAAAACTGCTCCACACTTCGGCTTCACTTTCACTTCGGCTCCATCTGGTTGCGTCAACCGATTCTGCCGCAAGGTCGGGCATCATGAAACCTCACGGATTTTTCCCCCGAAAGGGATCGACCCACAATCCGTTGAAAACGGGATGCACGCCCCAATCAAAACCTGCAAAGGTGAGAACTGTTCCATCCCCTTGTGACTTCCTGTTGGTAAAATGATGTAAAATGTCACGCCCCTACTTCCTGAGTGGATTGGCCCGAAAAAGTCCGGACTCTTTGTTGAGGAACTAAAATGGTCCAAACCCAAAACGTTGAAACTTTATGAACTCAGGAAGTGAGCTTTCGCGCGCGTCCTGCTGGATGAAGCCGGCCACATCAGTATATTTGTCGTAGCGATGGGTTGCCTCCGCGCATTTGGACAGTTCCATTTGGACCCGTCCAAAAATGCAAGTGACACTACAAATCAACATGAAACCCAAAAGAGGGGGGTTAGTTAAAATGGCATTTTAGGCACTTGGACCTTTAGGGATACCCCCCCCCCCATGAAAATAGGACGGGTTTGGTGTCTGTCAAGTGCATTCAACTTTACTTACCCAGGCTACGTCCAAGCACACGCCTGCGGCCAGAAAGAAGCCACAGGTGTGCGTTGCCTTGAAGCTTGCGTCTCGCATGCCCCCAGGGGAAGCCAGCGACAATTTGGACCAAACACAACTTGGTGTTTGCCCTCCCGTTTGTTTTTTTGCTTGTGGACCGTGTGGATGTTAAAGGGAGGGAAGATCCACTCACGTTCGTCTTTTTGAGCACCCGAACAGCCGGAAAAGTTGACCCCTCAATCAATCGGCCCTGGCCGCAGTTAGCAGTTTGAGCCCTGCGCAAGTGAGGCCCGATTACTGACACAGGTTTTGGGAGAAAAAAACATGGCTAGTTTTGGGGGTCAAGACTATGCTTGGAACATCACTTGAATCCAATGGACTTGAACATCAACAGTAAACTTGTTGGTGTACCTTGACAAGGAATTGACCAAACTTGGAAGGAATTTAAGTCTGTCTTTTTAAGGGTACCCTTTTTGGATGGTCTTAAAATGTATTATTGCAAACCGAGGGTTTCCTGATACTGATAGTGTCCATCCAACTTGAGTGATTTTCCTTTTGGCTCCCCTCAACTCCTGAGTGGATTGGCCCAACACAAATCACGTCAGACCTTTGCAAATCTACCCCTCATACGTTCCAAACCCAAAAAGTGACCATCAAAACATCAAGTCCAATGAAACACTTGAAGTTCCCTTGAGGTTTTCAAGTCATCAAGTCCTCATGAGGTTTTCAGGTTCCCTCGTGAGCCAACCGCTTTCCTGGCTTTCCTTCCAACCCCACCCGCCCCCATCTTCCCGCCAGGTAATTAACCCCACCGCCCCCATCTTGCCGCCGCCCATCTTCCCGGGTCTTCCGAGCTGCGTTGAGCCACACCGTGAGGCCCAGCTCCAAGACGTTTTCGCCCGAAGCCAAAAACTCCGAGACGTCCAGATAGATCCCCGGCTCCACGGACCCGGGGCACCAACCATTGCCTCAGAATCGGCGGGCAGCTCTCGTGGCCGTCCCGAGCGGTACCAGGCAAAACGGAGTCCGCAACTTTGAGAAAACAGGTACATGCACATACACACACATATATGTCATATATACATATACACATATACATTTTTTTGAATATATATATATATATGATATCGTGTGTGCGTCTCTGGCTCTCTCTCTCTCTCTCTCTCTCTCTCTGTCTCCTCGTGTCTCTGTGTCTTGTCTATTGGCTGAGCTGCGGCTCTCATACCACGTCCCGTGCTGAGCCGGGCCAGTGGGGTTCAGGTAGCAATCGTCGCGCCACCTCTCCGCCGGGCGGAAAAACGCGGCGCCAGTTTGGAAAGCGCCCGGTCTTGGATGCTTGCTTCACTAGGACCTCCAGTAGAGAGGTTGGAATAAGAGTACCTTCTTTTTTTCTGTAGTCTATTTTAGTAGGGGGGAGCCCTCCCCCAAAACAAGGGTAAAGGGGCACTGCTGGGGGACCCAGTTCGAGGAAAACGCAAACAAACTCGCTTCCGAACGGTTGGTTTGGCCAAGGGAAGCTCCCCAGACTTGTTGTTTGCCACCACAAAGTTGCTAAAGTCCAGGAACTCAGGCCAGGTTTGGACCACGAGATTGAGTGTGTCTCAAAAAATGGGTGCGCTTCCCCCCCAAGCTTGCGGTTTTTCCGTTGATGTCCATTTAAAACCAAAACAAGAAGAGCATCCTCTAAAAAAGACACACCAATATATATATATATATATATATTGCTGAAACATCCGTTGCATGAAGATCGTGACAAGTAGCCACAACTGGCGTAATTCAAGCTAAGCGCGCAAGGAAACCATCAACTCATTGCTAATTATCCCCTTGAAAACTGAGCAAGTAAGTATAGACGATATGACGTCTATGTTTCACATTCCCCACATGTCCCTCTCACCATGTTTTCCGTAGAGCTGCCCATGGTGAGTGGCCCACAGCGGCCTAGACCTGCTTGTCCCTTCTGCAAGTGCCAAAATGTCCGAAAGCAATGACCATTGGGATCTCCTGCTTTAGGAAAAGGGCCATGTAAAATGCTGGGCATGTTTTTTGAGGGTACCCTTTGCGGGTTAGTTGGAAGGGAAACAGTAAGGGGGGCTTGCCGGGATTTTTGGCTTTAGGGACCAAATCGCGACGCATTTGGTTTTGCGGGGACCAAACTTCAAGCTTCTCACCCCAGGAAACCAACACCCCCTATTTTGGCACATGCCCTGGAAAGGGAAAGCTACTTTTCGAGTCTTGCGAGGTCCAAACTTCAATTTTCCCGACCCTGGTGAAAAACTTCGGGATGTCTCACAATTTCACTCACATCCCGCGCATTTGTGGAGAAAAACAGTTCAGGTCATGGTCCAAAGTTCATTCGATCCCGCGCACTTGTCAGGTCATGCGTCTTTAACTGTCATTCGCCAAATCTCGAATTTCTCGTCACTCACACCCGCGCATTTGTCAAAACCGCTTCGGGCCATGAAGTTCATTCGCCGCGGCGCTGGGTGACATTGGCCACCTCCTTGCCGTTCAGGCGCAGGTGGTACACCGCGTGGCAGTACTCCCCGCACTGCTCAGACGTGGCGGCCCAGCCGTGGCCCGTGGCAGTGAAGTGCAGCACCCCCCGCTCCCCTGGGAGGAAGGGGCGACGGACGCCGCGCGGAGTCCCCAGCTTTTCCGAGAAAAGGACATACCCTCCCACCAACTAACATGGAACTGCAAAAAGGCCCTTTCCAAGAGGAAAGTAGTCTTTCTACAGGGGTCTGCGCACTTCCATGTTAGCTGGTGGGAGGGTTCATCATGGGTTTGCACCTGCTTTACCCTACAAAACCCTCGAGCCATCCTTAAAGCATGGAAGTTAAAATCCACTCCATGAAGTTGAGCAATAACTAATTGGTTCGCTTGACTTAAAGGGAAACCAAAAGGAACACCCCAGCATGTTGTGACAACCTTTTGAATTACCAGTTTGCGGCTTCACAAGTCGCACCTGCCAACTCGACGTCTCAGCGGCTCAACGTCCCACCTTGTGAAAGCGTAGCAGTAAAACTCCGGGTGAAGACGTGGCCTTGCCGGTTCTGCTTCACCACGCAAACCTTTTGGCCTGGCGCTGGTCGCTGCCTCACGCGTTTCGTCTCTAAATTTCCCATGGAGCCTGGCGTTGCTGTAAAAACAAGAACACGCGCTGCAAGAAAAACACAGCTGGCTAAGTGGCCTGTAAATAACAACCGTGAGCAATCAGTGTCCCACAGTTGCAGAAGGCAGGTACTCCATGGAAACCTATTCATATCCAGCGAGGGTTCATATGCTCTTGGAATGAGTCTGCATAGCATTGGGGAAACAAACTGGCAGGGATGTGGGGGAAGGAATCTGCAACCTGCAGAACTACCCACATCCGCGCTCCTCTTCCCTAATGTTGTGTTTGCTTTTTCTGGACGTGCTCGCTTTCCTCAGATGCTCATTCACACATGTCACTACTGGCTGGCGACACATCATGCCGTACTCGGCGGCTTCTTGTAAAAGATTCATACGGCCAGCCCTGCAGATGCTTGTAGAAAGATGAGGGCGGGGAGGGGGGGGGTTTAAAGGCTTAGCAAACAACACCGACAATTGTAAGGCTCGCCAATCTTAAATCCAACCGCAAAAGTTCGAGCAACTGGGGGGACATTGGGAAGTTCCTCCTGGTACCCTTTTTTGAGTGGACCTACAACCTGCCTGCACCGTTTTGCCTGCGCGGGGGAGCTCCTAGGTTTCGACTACCCGATCTCAAGGTGCCAGTTGACATGCCCGCTCCCAATGCACAAGCATCACTTTTGGCTTCCCTTTGACCCAACCTCAAGAGAAGCGCCCTGGAAAAACAACGCCCATCCATATCATCCATTTATCGGAACCCCAAGCCAAGGGGCCGGAGTCACGGCTCCGGTTTCTTCCTCTTGCTACATCACCACATGAGGCAACTCCCTTTAAAATCAATTAGAATCAAATGACTGACTTGTCTTTGCTTTCATGTTGACGCTGTACATCTAACATTCACCTACAATTTCAGTGACGTTCCAAACCAGAAGGGGATTTTTTTTTGCCATCCTGGGCTTTGAGCCGCCATGCCCCCCTTTTGCGCCTGATCTAGAGGCGTCGCTCGAGTTGGAGCCGGACTGGGCACGCACCGTGGCGATGGGCGAAACCTCCGTCCCCGCTGCGTTCCTCGGAGCATCGGAAGTGGCCAACATTCTAGGGGTTGATTCCTTGTCCATTCTTTTCAACCATCGTTCTTTTCAAAAACCCGCTGTTTCCCCCTGGGCTCTGATTTCTGGAAAGAAGGCTCCCTTGAAAGAATGGGGAAGTGTCCCCTAGAAACATGGAGAACTTGGGGGCCGGAAAAAAACATCCACAACCCACTGAAGTGGTTCCAGGCCTGCTGTAAATCAACATGGAGCCCACAAAAATCCCCGCAGAGGAAATCAAGCGACCCCTGATCTACCCTGATTTCAACAATCAGGAAGTGGGCAGAGGGGTTCCCTAAAAGGAAAGCAGTCCACAACCGTCCTGTCAGCTTCCAACATTTCTGGAGTCCCGCGAAAGACATTGATTTTTCTCAGCCTGCACCCTGTATGGGAACAACCAAGAGGTAAAACGGAGGTCAAAAAAGCAGGTTTGGGGTGGAAAAGCAGGTTCCATTGAATCGAAGCCTGAGTGCTTCATGGCTAAACCTGCAAACCAATCTTCATCCATCCCCTAAACCTGCAAAACACGTTTCATCCATTTTCTAGGTCCTCCAGTAGAGAGGTTAAAATAAGGGTACCCTTTTTTCTGTAGTGTATTTTGGTAGGGGAACCCTTCCCCAAAAAAGGGTAAAAGGGCACTTGGGGACCTAGTTTTGGATTTAAGATACAATGCTCTTTGGCGACCCGGGCGCCGACACGAGCCCCTGCACCCCAGGCCGACGGAAGGATGCCGCAAAGGAAATCGCTTGGTTCATTTTCCACCCACCGGTGGGCATCTGCTTTTTCTCATGCGTCCAAAAAGCAGTGGTTCGGGGAAGGGGGGGGGGCTGGCACACCGCGGAACAGGAAAGCCAACGGGCCCCATAGAAAATGGAGTTCCTGCCCCGTGGTACCACTCTGCGATAGACTGTTTTACGTAGGCGTTCTGTTGTGGTGGCTGCATCCCCACTAAGAATAAGCAAGCAAAGTCACATGCCAACATCAGCCAGACATGATTTTACACTAGGAAAAGGTGGCCTGAGGGGATCCTATGATTCCCCAGTGGTTGCGGGGACACCCTGCTGTATCGGTTGGTGTGGGCCCCCTCAACTCTCTTCCTGAGATTGGGCAAAACAAGCTCAGTGTTGGGTTTGCCACTTAGAATGGCCTTCTCCAAAGGATTAATTCAGCTGACCCCATTTCCGATATTGATAGTTTGGACTAATGTTGACCCAGGATCAAAAAAAACCGTCCCATTATTAGGGGGTGTTCCTCCAAAAGTGATACATTACTGGTTTGGAGGTCTGGTTTCAAAAGGAACTTGGCTTCAAATCCAAATCCAAAATCAAACCAAAGTGGCTATCTGATCCAAGCTTGCACCCGCGGGGTAAATAAGCTCAGGTGATATCGCAGCGGCCCCAGAACTCGGGATCGAACTCCCGGAGCCGCCCCACTAGACAAAGCTTTCAGCTGTTGGCGAAAAACAAGAAGTTCAGTTGATGCGTCGTATTTGGCCAACCTCATCCTCCAGTTGCTTAAGCTGCTCACTAAGTCCACTGGCAAATGAAGGTATGTCCAGTAGTGATAGATTCCCTTTGAAACCAGAGAAAACAACAACATATCACACCTCATTAAGCAAAACGAAGTGAGTCATACAGCACTCCCTGAGGAGACCCAGCTTTCATCAGCGTCAGAATCAACTGGTACTAAGTGGGCCTGCCCAAAGCCATACACAGAATCAGCAACATAGAAAACATATTTCAGACATCTGAAATGGGTGTGTCCTTTAAACCAACCTGAAAAATTGTGCCCTCCACAAAGACACCCAAATAAGGGGATCCCCTAGTGAAGGGCATATATCGTAGTGAGCTCGTTTTGCCCCCGAATCGGTGAGCTTCCTGAGTCAATTGGCCGAACCTTTTGTCTGCCTAACAATGGTCCAACCCAAAAACTCCACGAACTCAGGGACTGAGTTCATACAGGCTTTACTCTCACCCACATTGAAACCAGGTAGCAGAACCGACTAAAAGCCCCTGCACCCCCCCCCCCCCCAACAAAGAAAAAAACAAAAACAACTAAACAAAAGAAGAAGAAACATTAAAGTGGCTAACTCCAGGAACTCAAGTGAGATGAGGTTGCACCCCAATTCCAACACCTGATGTTCCGAGGCGCAAGACCCGCAGCTCCTGCAGGAGTCTGTTTCCACATCACCCTGAAGAAAACTCACTTTATCCTAGCCCGAAACGTGGCTTTTAAGTCTGGGGTACAGCGAACATCATATGTTCAGATTCTGATGCAGAACTACTTGAACTTGTCAAACAAACACTCACTTCCGAACAAGTGGGTTGGCCAACGAAAGGTCCAAACTCTTTGTTTGCCGCTAAAAAATGGTATGCATAAAGTCCAGGAGCTCAGAGAGTTAGAATAAAGAACGGACACAACTTAGATGATGAAGCTCCTTAGGTGTATCATGGTTCATGATGGTTGTTGACCCCCTTGTTTGAATGGTGGTTTGAACTGCAGGGTAAAATTTAAAATTGATCGGGTGGAGACCCAGAACATCGTTGTCTTTTTTGCCTCCCCCTATTTCAGGTTTGTTTAAGGAAAAACCAGTTTGAAAACCGGGGCCTTTTTTGGGGGGCCATGGGGGTGATCCCCTACTTAAGACACCCCCCAAAAAAAACATGTCCTTACAGAACTCTTGGTAGCTCCCACAGGCTCCCTCTTTAAAAGGCTAGCGGTGATGTTGACCCCCTATTAATCAACCCCAGTTTGCAAATTCTGGGGATTAATCCCTTTTGGAGGGAACACCCCCACATTGACTAACAGGGCTTACTAGTCTGGGGTCAACATTAGCGGAACATGGGCTCTTCCGGCTGTCCTGCTTCGGTGTCTTCTGCTCCTTCCTCAGCGCTAGGCCTGAGTCGATGCCCTGACCAGCCGCCGTGCGCAGCCGAGAGAGCGCCTCTGGCAAAACGCGGTCGTCCTGACGCTTGCCGCCAGTCAGACTGCTTGGCTGGAATTAGGACCCCAGCAAAAAACTAGACCACGGTTGGCCCGAAAGCAGAACATCGCAAGCGAGGTCGGCCCAACGCTGCAGGATGCGTTCTTTTTCCCTACACTTCGTGAAGCAAGCGCGAGACAGCACCAGGCAAGGTGCTCTGCGCAAACTGGTCGGTGCAAGTTGCTCTGCGCAAGTTGCTCCGCGCAAGTTGCCCGGCAAGTTGGTCCCTGCAAGTTGCTCTGTGCAAATTGCGCTCCCTGCAAGTTGCTCTGTGCAAGCTGCTCTGTGCAAGTTGCTCTGTGCAAGTTGCTCTGCGTAAGTTGCTCTGTGCAAGTTGCTCTAGGCAAGGCGCTCTGCGCAAACTGGTCGGTGCAAGTTGGTCTGCGCAAGTTGCTCTGTGCAACTTGCTCTGCGCAAGTTGCTCTGCGCAAGTTGCCTGTAAAATGCAAGTTGCATCTTGTGACGCCCGCCCGCGGACCAGGGAGGAATCGAACCCGCGACCCGCCGGTTCCGGGAGCAGGCGCGCGAACCACGAGACAACTCCCGAGGACCAGTTCGAACAACAAAAGTCGCAAAAAACCTTGAGTTTTTGCACCTCGACCACGCCGATTCCCGCAGAGGGTTGCGCGAGCACCGCAGAAATCGCAAAAAACCATGGGTTTTTGCACCTCGACCACGCCGATCCCCGCAGAGGGTCGCGCGAGCAGGATAGAAATCGCAAAAAACCATGGGTTTTTGCACCTCGACCACGCCGATCCCCGCAGAGGGTCGCGCGAGCAGGCAGAAATCGCAAAAAACCATGGGATTTTGCACCTCGACCACGCCGATCCCCGCAGAGGGTCGCGCGAGCAGGTTAGAAATCGCAAAAAACCATGGGTTTTTGCACCTCGACCACGCCGATCCCCGCAGAGGGTCGCGCGAGCAGGTTAGAAATCGCAAAAAACCATGGGTTTTTGCACCTCGACCACGCCGATCCCCGCAGAGGGTCGCGCGAGCAGGTTAGAAATCGCAAAAAACCATGGGTTTTTGCACCTCGACCACGCCGATCCCCGCAGAGGGTCGATTTTCGTGTAGTGTCGTCGGCACTACCCCGCCGCCCTAAGAAGAGATTTTAACTCCTCGCAAGTCAATTGCACTTGACTCCTTGCACTTGCAACTTGCACTTGACTCCTTGCTTGTTTCAAGGAGTCATTGCAAGCAGTCATTGCAAGGAGTCATTGCAAGGAGTCATTGCAAGGAGTCATGGCAAGGATTGCAAGGAGTCATTGCAAGGAGTCATTGCAAGGAGTCATTGCAAGGAGTCATTGCAAGGAGTCATGAGAGCCATTGCAAGTTGCAAGGAGCCAAGTGCATGGAGCCATGTGCAAGGAGCCAAGTGCAAGGAGCCAAGTGCAAGGAGCCAAGTGCAAGGAGCCAAGTGCATGGAGTCAAGTGCAAGTTGCAAGTGCATGGAGTCAAGTTGCAAGTGCAAGGAGTCAAGTGCAAGTTGCAAGTGCAAGGAGTCAAGTGCAAGTTGCAATCCTTGCCATGACTCCTTGCAATGACTCCTTGCAATGACTCCTTGCAATGACTCCTTGCAATGACTCCTTGCAATGACTCCTTGCAATGACTCCTTGCATTGACTTTCATGATGATGATTCCTTGCAATGACACCTTGTAATGACTCTCATGAGAACAATTCAAGTGAACCCAGCGGAAGAACCCTTCGCCATGCTTTCGGGAAAAACATTGTTTGCCTGGTTAGTGAAAAACAAAGGGAACCCCAAAAAAGCAAAATCAATAACTAGGGGAATTATTTCTGCCGAAGACTGGACGAGGACCCCTAGCCCCTTGGGGAGGCGTACAAACCTATCCATTCCTGCAATGCCTTCTTCTTGGCTTGTCCTGGGCTTATCCTGGGCTTCACTCCCCAAGGGAGGCGAGAGTCCTGATGGGCAAATCCACAAGTTGGTAGATTCAAACAAACCGTATCCTGGCATAGGTGTCTTGTTGGGAAAACGGCCCTGGCAGATTTTGAAGCAACTAGGACAACCAGGGCAATCTATTTTCTACCAAAGCAACCAAATGACACCTATGTTATCCGGGATCCTTACATTATACACCTGAACATTGCCTCGTAAATGGTGGTTTCCCTTCATGTTGGTGGAAAAAGCCATGTTTTAAATGGGCAAAATGTATCTTTTAAGGAGCCCTGGTAGTAAGTTATGTGTCCAGGTAATTCCCCGGGAAAGTAGCCAAATACCCGCAAACTCGGCGGCTTGGGCTTCTTAGATAGATGGTTTACCCCGGTATTTGTAGGGTGTCATCCATCCCAACTGGCGCAACGTGGGTTTTGTCAGACGCAACCGGGGACCTTTGGTGGACATTTTGGCGGGGATTCACGTCCACCACTTTTAAGGCGGTCCCTTTTTCAAACATATCTCTCAAAATGGGGATAACCAAAATTGGTTTCCATGTTGTTCCCGAAATGAAAACCAGCCCAAAACATTATACCGCTAACAAAACGACACACCCATATGCTAAATACGCGGACCCGCACAATGATGGTATTTTCTGGGGCTTCCATTTCAGCCAAGACAGGACAAAGAGGGAACCCTGCACCCGTGGGGCAAAGTCGCTTGAAAGGAACAGCCCTGATCAAAATGGAGGGCTGGCGAATCCCCATCCCATCTCTTCGAACAAAGGCATTGGATCGTTCAACGGTTCCATCGTCGCAGGCGTGCGTCCAGACAGTGACTATCGTATCTGACATGGACAACTCATTGTTCAGTCCAGTTGGAGCCCTTCAATCGGGTAGCTTCAGTTGAGGGCCATACTTAGGTTGTACGGATATACATCATAACTATGCTTCTCACTGCAATGGCTGTAGCCTACTTCCAAAGTACCTTGAACAGAAAGGATTTCCAATGGCAATTGGTGCTTCACGTCTGCAATCCCCGTTCCTATTTCGAGTAGGGGTTCGAAAGATGCACGTCGGGTGACTCAATCCTTTTATGTTGAACGTTTCACCCCCACATGAACATGGTTCCTTACAACGCCGCTTGGACGACGAGCCTCGAATGCGGTTCCAACATGTTCCAACTGTTGTGCTGTTTAGTCAGATCACTCCTCAGTTTCCGCAAAGTGAAAGACCAAAACTCGGTTGCTTTCTGCTCCCCTGCTGAAAGCTTAACTTTTAGTGGTTTCATGGAAAACCCATTAGTTGGCCAAAAGTTAAAGTCCTAACATCCCTTGGCAAAATGCACCAAAGAAAGCAGCAAACACTCGCTGATCCTTTGTCGCTCTGCGCCCTGGTCCTTCGGGACCTGCAGCTGGGGTAAAGAGCTGGAGTTGAGGTGATGGAAGCATTGAGCCAAGGTGACATTCATCCGGAAGTGCGTAGCGTTCAGAACCTGGAGGCTGAGCTGGGCGCCCCCTCAAGCAACAAACAAGTAATTCGCCGGGCGCACATAACGAAGACACCACCATACAAACAAATAATTAAGAAAGCACGCAAAACCACCAAACAAAAACGGAAACAAACAAGCGAGAAAGCCCAAGCAGGCAGCAAGCAAGCAAATAAGCAAAAACACAAAGACGCGAGCAAACTCGGAAACAAGAAGTGCATGGGTGCCACAAGTCTAGTTAATTCACATTGGTTCCAGTCAATCGTCCACGACCCGCGCCCCCATTAATTCCACAGTCGACCCCTTACTACGGCTTTGCCCAGCTGAAAGATGCTCAGAGTTGTAGATTTTGTCTCGGGCCAAATGGAAACCCAACCACTCATCTGACTCATCCCAACGCAAAACCACTAAACAAACACTAAACGCCCAGGTTGATCCGGACGATTCGCTGGGAACCGCTTAGTTTGCTCTTGGGCGCGGCGCTTTTTTTCATTCGAATCAAAGTCCGTCATCCGCGGGGCGCCTTCTTCACAAAGCCGATCGGCTCGAAGGCCATGGACATGTTCCTCAAGCCCAACGTTGCTTCCCCGAAACGTTGGGACTGGGCAATGCTACCCGGCCTGCTTGCCTTAGAGCCTATTTTAGTAGGGGACCCCTCCCAAAAAAAAAATGTAAAAGGGCACTACTGGGGGACCTAGGAGCGGTAACAGGAGGCTGCTTTAAAAAGTTATCACCCATATCGAAAGCCACTTCACGAGTTGATTGGCCAGAAACAGCTCCCACACGTTTAATGATGACCACTCACATGGTCCAAGCCCCAAACGTGACCGCACTCCATGAACTCAGGAAGTGAGGCCCTGGTTGCCTTAGAGCCACTAACAGAAACCCGCCGAAGCTACTGTCCATGGACGAAATCTGCATCACTTAAGAAACCATAGAATGATGACTCCTCTGTAAATACAAACAACCAGTAACGTTCCATGGTTTTAAAGTGGTGCAGGATTTCGCCCATCCACAGTATCACCCAAATCTTAAGAAACGGTTCACGTAACCCTGGGGACCAGCTCTGGGTCAACTCATTTGGACGGCTTCCGCCTCTCTTCGGCTCCCATTCAAACCCTAAACGTGTGGAACATAGTTCGAAAGCCGTGTCTATATCGGCGTGTCTAGAAGACAGTCACCCCCTTTTTGGATGGCTTTAAACGGAAACCAAAGGGATGTGTTTATTCTGAGAAGCACCCATACTTGTCACAACCCAGGTGCATGAACCCTCAGCTTGTCATTCAGTATGGCCTTATCCACCTAGCAAATTAAACTTTGGTGCCCCGACAAGCCAAGAACCCCCCCAATCAAAGTCTACCAAAGGTTGATTAATCAACGAGGTTCCCATTGCTGCCAAAGGTGTGTCGGGAAATGCAGGATTGAAAAAAGAACTCAGTTTTTGTCAAGAACAGGGTCACAAAATGCCCCCTTTTGAAAGTTGCAGGCTTCAAGGAAATTGAGCGTCCACCGCAAACAAAAAGTGGTCAGACTTAGGCGCCCTGCAAAAGGTTCCCGTTTTGCTGGTTAAAAGGTACAGTGGAAAACGCAGGCGAGAGGTCAAACGGGTAAGCTACGTCTGGCAAGGGCAAAATTAGGCCCTTTGAGCCACGTGCGGCCTGGGCTCATCCAAAGGTAGGCGGTATAACGCGCGTCCGTCACAACGGCGCCGCTGGCAAAGAACACGGGCAAACCCTCTGAGAGGTTCCCGGCAGAACTCAGAGAGACCTCACCAAAAACACGGTTCGGCTGTCTCTCAACACACGGTACTTACTTTCTGAGTGGATGGGCCAAGAAAGTCGAAACTTTTTCTTCACCACTACCTCTGCATTCCCAGAAAGTCTTTCAACTCAAGTAGGGAAACACCGAAGGAAATCTGGGCATTTCGGCGGTTTGAAGCCATTTTCGCGCATGGGCCAACATGGCTCTCGATTGTGAGCTCAGGCGATTTGACAGCGAGGGGTACAGTACACAAAAGAAGATGTTGCCAATGGGTGGTCATGCCCGGATGGGGGTTCCAGCAATGGACCCCGGTGTGAGTTTCCCTTTCCCTTAACACCAAAAAAGGAATCCTGAAAAGACCACATCCACCTGCAAACATGCCCCAGCCAGCAAATGCGCTCCTTTGGATGACTGGGTGTCTGCGTTCCGTGTCTCACTTCGCGAAGGAAGCGGATTGGCCCAACAATCTGGACTTTATACGTACCACCAAAATATACCAAAATGGTCCAACGATCAAGCCCAGGAACTCAGGCCCCTTACTCCCTGCATTTGTGCCTTCATTGCAGGGAACGGACCTCGACTTGGGCGGTTGTCAACCGCCCTTGGCCCAACAACGGGCCTCAAATCAGTGACCTGAGTTCAACAAACTGAATCACTTCATGAGCCAACTGCCAAGATGATGGAACCATCTGGCAGTTGCAAAGGGCTAAGAACATGCGAACCAGATCTCAGAAGCTCGGCAACCTTGATGACTTGATGGGCCAAAACTCAAGTTGAGCGATGATCATGCAACACACGCGTTGCCAAGAGGCATCTAGGTAGCTACCAGGCTCGTTGCCTGGGTTGAGAATCTTTGCAGTGATCATCTTGCTGGAGACCATGGTCGAAAGGAACAGCTTTTCCAGATCCACGGATATATTGTGCAAGACCTCCGCATTGATCATTGGCCGCCTCAAGGGGGGAGTTGCCAAACGCCCAACGCAGCTGCAAAACACCACCTTTGAAGCCCCCCGGCCACCAGTCAAACTCAAAATTGCCTTATGCAGGTCACACTGCTCCGGGTGGGAGGGGGGTCCTCCTGGCGACCCCCGCCTGTTGGGGGTCGCCACTAGACGGGCCTTTTGATCTGTGAGGAGGCATCTTGCAGCTTGTAGGCCACCAAAAGGCAGGGCTTGCAACTCAGAAACCCTTTTGAACCAGCTCAATGCTGCACAGCCAAGTACAACTCACTTCCTGAGTGGATGGGCCGAAAAGCAAAAAACTTGTTGTTTCTCACTAAAAGGGTCTTTCCAAAAAGTGTCAAGTCCATTATTTCAGGAAGTGCGACCATCCTCCACGTCGCTTTTGTGTTCGTTTGGCTTCTGCTGGGGCAAGCAAAGCCGTCAGCCACAAGCTGGCGGTTCTCAAGTTAGCAGCTATGGCAAAAACTGGGCAGGAAAACCATAAAAGGAAACCGGATAAGAACAGACCAGGAAAGCCACGCTAAAGAGCAGTGAAGCCACAGCAAAGAGCCGCAAAGAGCTGTGAAGCTAGTGCAGAAGCAAGCAAAGACTAGAGGACATCAATCCAAAAGCTTCAGATGGCCTCAAGGAACCAAGAAAGTTCGGAAGGAACTCCCAATCTCACGGGGCCTGAGTGGATTAGATCCAAACCAAACGCAAACGTGTATTCTTCAGCACTTGGTCTGCCCCCAGCCCCTAGGTGTTTTTTTCTTCACACCCTCGCGTTTTGTTTGGGGTGGTTTCCCTTGGTTTCCCTTTCATGCGGAAAAGCTTTTCCAGCAGGAACAGCCTCAAGGCAGTCCTCGTCTCAACCCCCTATCTCCCATGTGCGAATGATACGTCCCCTCCTGGGAAAAAAACAAAAACCTGAGAAGGAAGCGCACGAAAGCCAGTTTGTTCCCCGTGCAAGTGCCCTTCAGCGCGGGAAATCGCCCTTTGCGTCCCAGCAGCACCAACCCCCTCGAAAGGGAAGCGTCGAGAATGCAGGACCCGGAGCCTGACATCCCCAGCATCCCCAGGCCACTCCATCCAGGAACCAACCCCCGGCCCAGGGCCACCTGGAAAGCAGATCAGGCTATGCTGAACTTCAATAGCACCGTTAAGAGTTCTTAACGTGCCTTTGGAGCGGGCAGGGGATGCTGGGCAGTTTCACTTGAGTGGCCGGCATTCTTGGCACCCCCCAGCATCACCAACCTCGGGCACTTTCACTTCGGCGGCCGGCATTCAGGACGTCCCCAGCATCACCAACCCCCTCTCGAAACCCGCGGCATTCAGGAAACCCGCGCCAAACGCCACCCCCCGCCACCTCTCGACCGGGAGCCGAGCAGTTACGAACGCATGCAGCGGCAGCGGACATGCCCAGCATTGCGTGCACCCCAAGTCACTCGAAACGGAATTGCCAAGAATGCAGGTGCCCCGAGTCACTCGAAACGGAAGTGTCAAGAAGGCGGGCCGCAGAACCTGACATCCCCAGCAGAACAGAACGTGCCGCGCATCCCCAACCCACTGAAGCTTGACATCACCAGAGCGGAACTGTGAAGGAGGCAGCGCCGCTCAGCCGAACGGGCCCTGCGCCCCCAGCCCTAGCCCACACGGAAGACCTCCGGAGACACATTGCAGCCTGTCTCTGTGGAAAGGCATTTCCGTCAGAGCGAGCCAGCGGCACGTCGTTGGCAGCTTCCGGTCCACGAGCGCTCATGGGGCAAAGCTGCACAAAGCAGTGCTGTGGAAGACTGAGTAGTTTGTAGAACAACAAGGATGCCCAGGGCTGCCGGGAAAGGTGAGCAGGCTGTGCTGAACTTGAATAGCACCGGTAAGAGTGCTGAACGTGCCCTTGGAGCGGGCTGGGGATGCTGGGCACTTTCACTTCAGCGGCCGGCATTCTTGACATCCCCGCCCCAAAAAGGGCTGAAATTGGACGCGGGAAGTCCCCCTTCGTATGCCCGAAGCACGGCCCAAAAAAATCCTCTCCGACCACGAGGGAGCAAGCGGCAAGCGGGACGTCGTTGGAAGAATCCGGTCCACGAGTGCTGAGAAAGACTGAGTAGTTTGTAGAACAACAAGGATGCCCAGGGCCGCCGGGAAAGGTGAGCAGGCTGTGCTGAACTTGAATAGCACCGGTAAGAGTGCTGAACGTGGCCTTGGAGCGGGCTGGGGATGCTGGGCACTTTCACTTCAGCGGCCGGCATTCTTGACATCCCCGCCCCAAAAAGGGCTGAAATTGGACGCGGGAAGTCCCCCTTCGTATGCCCGAAGCACGGCCCAAAAAAATCCTCTCCGACCACGAGGGAGCAAGCGGCAAGCGGGACGTCGTTGGAAGAATCCGGTCCACGAGTGCTGAGAAAGACTGAGTAGTTTGTAGCAACAAGGATGCCCAGGGCCGCCGGGAAAGGTGAGCAGGCTGTGCTGAACTTGAATAGCACCGGTAAGAGTGCTGAACGTGGCCTTGGAGCGGGCTGGGGATGCTGGGCACTTTCACTTCAGCGGCCGGCAGTCTTGACAGCCCCGGCCCAAAAAGTGCTGAAATTGGACGCGGGAAATCCCCGGTGAAGCGTAACGTCCCCATAACGGAACTGCGAAGAAGGCAGTGCCGCGGAGCCGAACGTGCCCTGCGCCCCCAGCCCCAGCCCACACGGCAGACCCCCGGAGACACATTGCAGCCTTTCTCTGCGGCAAGGCACTTCCGTCAGAGCAAGCAAGCGGCACTTCGTTGGAAGAATCCGGCCCAGGAGCGCTCATGGGGAAAAGGTGTAAAAAGCAGTGCTGATGAAGACTGAGTAGTTTGTAGAGCAACAAGGATGCCCAGGGCCGAAAGGTGAGCAGGCTGTGCTGGAGCGGGCTGGGGAGGCTGGGCACTTTCACTTCAGCGGCCGGCATTCTTGACATCCCCGCCCCAACAAGGGCTGAAATTGGACGCGGGAAATCCCCCTTCGCATGCCCGAAGCACGGCCCAAAAAGAGCCTCTCCGATCACCAACCGTTCCCTCCCCCCAAAAAAAAATCAGAGGGGAAACAACAAAGAATGTTCATTTCAACAACGAATTCCAGTGATACATTCCGTCTGAAAACCAAGAGGGGCAGCTAGAAACGCACAAGTTCCTACGCAATTAAATCCAGTGATAGATTCCCTCTCAAAACCAAGAGAGGACACAAGTAACATCATATTGACCCCATGTTAATCGTTAATCAACCCCAGTTTGACACATAGGGGGCCCCTCCGGTCTGCTTCCCCACATTTCACCCAAAAATAGACACCCCCTCGTAATAAACTGTGGTTGATGTTTACTCATTTCAGCCACTGGAGGCCATATGTCCCGTAGTTTCCCCGTTAAAGCCAAGAAACCAGTGGTGATAAATTCCCTCCAAAAACCCAAGAGGGGCAACTGAAACAGATTCATTTCAGCAAAAGCACACACTTGGTACATCTGAAACAAAATGGAGAAAGGGGAGCACTCAACATCTCAGTAGTGATAATCTGATAGGTCCTCCAGTAGAGAGGTTAGAGTAAGGGTACCAACTTTCTTAGACCTAGTAGTGATACGTTTCCCTTTTAGAAACATATTCAGACCTCAGCAGGGTTGTGGAAAATGACCACTTCTGCGATACAACCAAAAAAAAGGATTCCCAAAGACGAACACCCAAGGGGGAGATTCCTGGACTTCAGCCACTGGCTGATTCCCTTGTATCACAGTGGGAATAAATTCCTTGGCAGCCACTACCATTTGGGGTAGGTGAATTCACCACCCATTTTAGAACCTATTTTAGTGGGGATTGGGATGCACACTGGGGGTACGGGGTTTTGACCCATGGCCGGCTCAGCCAGAGAAGTCCCGGCCTCAGCACCATGTCCTCCGCCTGCTGCGCCAGGAACCCCAAAGAGGCGCCTCGCTGGAACTGTTCCACGCCCTCGCAGGGGTAGACGACGGCAGAGGAGATCCTCGGTTTGGAGTGGCCCGGATGGGCTCATAGGGGCAGTAACGGGAAAGCAAGAGCCTGATTCTTTGCAGATAGCTTTAGCTACAGTGGATCTTACTTCTAAAGAGGCAGGGTTGGGTCCTGGTGCTGTATGTATGTCTCACTTCCTGGGTTGGCAAGCCCAAACTGCTTCTTTGCCACCTGAAATGGTCCAATATCCCAAAAAGTTTGAAGTCCAACTCGGGTCTCGCGAAGTGAGATGTGAGTCACACTCAAAACCCGGTATTTTCAAATGGTCGACCCAGACCCATGCTTCAAGAATTCAGGCGGATGAGTCACTTGCTCAAAACCCGGTAGTAAAATGGTCGACTTAGATGCTTCAAGACTTCAGGCGGAAATTTCCGCAGCTATTTATGGCAAGGGGGATGTCCCTTACTAACCTTCACTTGCCCGGGTTTTGAGCACGTGACTCAGATGCCCAGTAGCTTTCCATGGAAAAAAACAAAATCCTTTTTTGGATGGTTGACTTTTAAGGGGGGATCCTACCTGAAGAAAGTAAAAACGGACACCACTGGGCAACTGGGTCTACAAAACAACCTGGACCCCCCAAAAGACTATTTGTTCTGCCTTTGACCCATAAAAAAAAGGGTACAAAGGCCAAACAAAGGGGCCACTTGGGGGTCCAGGAAGGAATAAAAGCGCCTTCAGTGTTCTAGAAAGATTCGGATCCCTGGAAAGAATGGGGAAGGGGCGAAACTCCTGCTCACCTTCACTTACCCGGGTTTGAGCACGTGACTCATGTGGGCTTGGCCTCGGTGGCCCTGGTAGATGATGAAACCGCCAGGTAAACCAGGAATCGCCCTCCATTTTTCGAGCAAAACAACCAAAAAGGACTATGATCGGAAGTGGCCAAACTGGAGAACTTGGGCCGCCGAAAAGGAAAAGAAAACATCCGCAAACCTAGTGAGGTGGTTCCAGGACTCCTGGAAATCAACATGGAGCCCCAACAAAAAAATCCCGGCGTTTCGAGAAGAACCACTTCTTTCTAGGTCCTCCAGATTTGAGAGGTTAGAATAAGGCTACCAACTTTTCCCTGTAGTCTATTTTAGTAGGGAAACCCTCCCAACCAGAAAAGAAGCGGTAAAAGTTGGCACCCAGCTGGGGGACCCGATTTTTCTCCTGTAGTCTATTTTAGTAGGGGAACCCTCCCGCCAAAAAGTACCGGTAAAAGGGCGATACTGGGGGACCTAGCTTTGGAGCATGGCGCTCCGAAACGGCGCAGCCGAGAAACTCGTGCGCGTCGAAGAGGCTCCGGGGCTCGGGGAGCGCGAGCTCGGAGCTGCGCAGCGAGGCCTCGAAGACTTGGAACTGGCCGATCTGCAGCAAGGGGTTGGGGAAACCTCAGCTCTGCCCAAGGGCCAAGAAATTAAATATAAGTTAACAAGAAAAACAATATGTATATATATATATATATATGTGTGTGTGTTTGTGTATAAAAATATTGTATATATATATATGTAGATGATGATTATAAATGATTTTTTCCAACCTTTTGGGGCCATGACTAAAATTAAACCGACAAAGGGAAAACCACAAGGTCAGTTGCCCTGAGCCATTTTTTCCATCATGCAGGGGAACAAAAAAAAAACGTTTATAGGAGAGTACGCGTTTGCGCCTTCCAGAAATCATCGAAAGACCAAGAAATCGAAGTGCCCACCTTTTGGTGACGAAAAAAGCAAATCGACCAAGGGAAAACCCGACTTGGGTCGGTTCAGGTCGATTCGCTTTGGGCAAGTGCCGATTGGTTTCGAGGTCCCTCTGACCCACATCTCAGGTACACGGAACATAATGCCGTCGGAGTCTGTTTCTTATTTAGTCTACCCTAGAAACTGTGGAGCCGCTTTTGCCACTTAAAGTCACAAATCACAAATCGTCCATTCATCTTGTAAACACTGTTTCCCCCAACTTGCCAGCCTGACGATGTTTTGGGTGGGAAATCCGTGCAATGTCCTTGTCCGAAACCCGGATGGCTCGATCCCCCTCAAGCTGTCCTTTTCACCAAGGATGCTGAGATTGGGCTCAGAATCTCATATTAACCCAGTCGCAACCTGTGCGTTCAAACGGCTGGGTTGGTTGGTCAATCGCTTCTTCGTGAGCTAGTGTCCTCGGTGGTTCTTTTTTCCTTCGCGCCCCAGGCCTCAGGAATCCCTCACAGGGCGAAATGCTCCCCCTCCCTGGGTGCTAAAGCCTCGCCCCATCCAGACACATGTTCAAGCAAAAGATTCCGATTCGTTGGGTCGCACTTTGGCCCTGAGCCTTTGGCTCTCACAATTGGGAACGTGAAGAACGCATGTGTGGCTTCCCTGGAAAAATGGCAACTTCCGGGCGATTTAGAAGCCAATGGAGACACCCGGAGTCATATTCCTATTCAAATGTCACCCACAAACACCCCCTCAAATCAACCAACTCAGAAACCTGAGTGGGTGGGCAAAAATGGGCAAGAAAAAACACGTGAACGTGTACATTTAGCACTGAAAGGGTCTTCCCAACAGATTCCCTAACAGTCCTGGGGCTCGGAATGCCGAGCCCGGCGGTCCCGGTACCACACCCCAGTCTCAAAACACCCGTGATTTTGGATCCCCCAAAATCCATCAGGACGCTTAGGGCATAAAGAAAAGGTGAGCAACTCGGGGGAAGAAAGCCACTTCCCACACGCCAAAGCGGCTCTCTGCCAGTAGGATGGTGTCTCGCGGCTGGATTGGGACGCTGGAGGTACGTGGCCAAGCGATCAGGTCCAGACTGACATTCCACGCGTTTCCTCCGCTGCGCTTTTTTGTCGCCTTCCCAGTCCCGCCCACCAACGTTTCAACTTTTTGGGCCGGGGCCGGGGAGGGGAGAGGCAGGGAGCCCAAATAAGCCCCAAATATGTTTACTTTGGGCTCCCTCCCTCCCACCCACCCATGATTTAAAGTGTGTTCCTAGGGATTCGCATTAAAACTTGTGAATCTTCCAACTACTCATGTTGGACCTAGTGTTCGCAAGGTTCCGTGCAAAGCTCAAAGGACTGAACAACCCAAACCCATTAAATTTCTGAAAAACCCAAACCCATTAAATGTCAACCACGATGGTTACACATTGTCAAGGATGTAGGGATTGCGACAAAATCCCGATGAAGCCAGGCAGCAACCGAACCTAACATGGACAATAGAACTCGTTTTCGGCTTCTGATTGTGGAGCAAGTTTCCCAGACTCATCCTTTCGATTGGTGTTTGTATTACACCCTGGGATTACACCCTCTAAGGCATGACCCCATTTAGGCATATTTGAGGAAAGACCCATATTATGTTGGACCATTTTGGTCCCAAGGGTGTGGGATCCTTTGGCAGGGACGGGCTGAGACCCAAGGACCTATAGGACTATAGGTGACGCTTGCGCCACTGAAGAGAGTGGGAGCGGAGTCCAAAGTCAACACTTCTTGCTCAACTCACTTCCGATCGAGTAGATGGCCCAGCAAAAAGGTCTCAAACTGTTGGTTTACCACAAAAATAGTCCAAACCCAAACAGTGACTAAAGTTCTGGAACTCTGGGAGAAATAAGCACCTGGTTGATTAACGGGGGTTGCAGTTCATCCCTTTTGGACGAGTTCGAAATAGACCCCGGGTCAACATTCAATGATGTTGCCAAACTAGACCGTCCAAAAACTAGGGAAGTGAGAAAAGGGATAGACCATGTTAGAACCCTCCCTTTTGCCGTTTTTGGCATCTCAGGTGGGGTTGGCTTACCGCATCTTTCCGCTTAGTTCACTGAAGCAGGGCAGGGAACCATGTGGGTGGCCGGACAATGCAAGTAGTGCATCACCGAAGTTGAAAACTGAGTTGGGGAACAACATGTGTGAGTCACCATGGGTGGCCTTTTGGACAAAACCCATCTAAACCAGTGCCATCTATTTTCCACTAAACCAACCTGAAAAGGACGCCTATGTGTGTGAGAGAACTCGCTGGGCGCATGCTTTCGAGTGAAGAACCCTCACTGAACACCCCACTGAAAAGGGACCTCCCCGATGAATCAAACATCGGTTTAGTAAGCCAGGGTTCCCATCATGTTGGCAAGGGAAGTTCTAACCCCAAACGTTGTTGCTTTTGAGGGTACGCCTTTATTTGTGGCTTTTTGAATTAAAGGGACACCAACAGGCAAACCAGCTTTCTTTTGTTCTTCTTTGTGGAGGGGGGGTCCCCTAACAAAATAGACACACCATCATGTACGTCCACATGCTTTCTGAGGCTACCCCTTCATCTGTGGATCTCAAGGAAAGCCAACAGGCAACCTACAAAAAGACACGCTCAACGCACTTCCACCCTGAGTCACAATCAACACCTGGTATTAACATGGTCTACCCAGAACCATGCTTCAAGAATTAAGAAGGCGGATCTCCGCAACTCTTTCTGGCAAGGGGACTGCCCCTTACACTGCCCCTTACTAACCTTCATCAATCCCGGGTTTTGAGGACGTGGCTCCCGAGGTCGGGTCTCAAACCTCAGGCCGTGCCAAGAAGCCCTGGGAGGACCAGACAGCTTGACATCTGCCCGTGACGTTATTGAAGTAGAGCACCTGGTACCGCGTGTCGTTGCCCACCTGCGAGAGAGAAGTTGCGAGCCACAGGCACGGAATCGAATTCTCTCTGTGCCCTATGGGAACTTGGTGAACTGCTTTGAGAGAGCCACAGGCACGGAAGCTGATTTTTTTTCTGGGTTCCCTATGGGAGCTGGGTGAGGAACCGCCTACCGGCATTGGTCCGTGTACCTCATGACATCCCCCGGGCAAAAGATGGCACCAAGTGGGTGGCTGCTTTGTGGGTACCCTTTTTGGATGGTAAAGGGAAACCAAAACGAAACCGAAACACATATTTTGGGGTGCCCCTATTTTAAGACCCCAATTGACTGCTCACATGGCAAGCCAAAGGCAAGGAATCCTACCTTTTGGGAAATTTTCCAAAGGCTGTCCAAAAGATCGAGGGGCCCGTCATTCTCGGAATGCCCAGGCCTGTTGCTTTTTGTCTCCACAGTGGATTAAGCTTGCGGGAGGTGGTGTTTTACTTTTTGGTTGTAGATGGCCCTGGTTTACCTGTTGTATTCATCTACCAGGGCCATCTGGTTCGAAGCAAATCAAAAAGAACACCAGGGGTGTTTCCCCTGAAGATCAAGTATTCTCTAAACTAAAAGCAGGTAATTGGCGGTTTGGGGACCTTTAACTGGATTGTTTGGATTTGACCCCCTGGTTCTTGAGGGCAAATGGGAAACCACAACCTCCAAGCCCACCAATCCACCAAGAGGGAAGCTGAAAATTGTTGACTCCTGGCACTGAGTGCCCAGCCCAGGTGTCAATGCCCACATAGAAGCGGAGCTCCTTCTCAGCGGCCAAAACGTCCTTCGCGCCATCCACAAAAATTACATCATGCGATTTGCTTGCCCTATATTTTTTGGTGGCGTGAACTCCCTTCTGTTTTGCGCAAGGGGGAACAAAACAAACATAACAAGGCCTGTCGAGGCCTGACCTTCTTGAAAGCATTGGCAGTGTCCAAACTCGCTGTTTACCACGGACATTCCGTCCCTCACACGCACATGACAGAAGTGTGGAAGAGAACAATGCTTGCAATGGGTAAGGTAAAAAGCGCAGCACCCTTTTTGGATCGATCACCGCTTTCTCGGCTGAACAATGGGACATGCGAGTTGCCCGCCAACCAAGCAACTGGAATATATCCCGGGTTGATCTTTGAACTTCCGACGCGACCAACCTTTTGCCAGCAACAAAGCCAGCCCCCCCCCCCCCAAAGCCCCCCACACACCAAAGATCTGCAGGAGAATGTTCAAACATCTACAAGCCAAGTTCGACGAAGATCGCCTGGACTTCTTGGGATCCGACCGCCTGTATCAGCCGCCCGCCTTTCCGGGGCCAAGGAGAACAGATGGAGATCGGATCCACCGACTCCAGGAGCCCCAAGGCGGAGTCCACTGCCCCGGCTTCCCGCTGCCCGGGAAACATGCGAAACATCGTCCCACTTCAGAATGGTTTTGTTGGTTTTTGTATAGCTGGTTCGGTATAGTTGGTTTTTAGTTGGTTTTTAGAAGGTTAGGCACAGCTGGGTGTTTGTTCGGCACTTGGGCCGATTCGAAACATACCTTTGGCTTCCAGCCTAACCCACCTTCGAAGCCCTAACAAGGTTAGAACCAAGGCCCCCGCCAACCCATAGCATCAGGTGCTACCCCGAAGGGGAATAAGTTGTAATTAACCATCGTCAAATAAACCAAACTCAAACATGTACCACCATTTTTGTTGTGTGGCACGGAGAGGTCCTTCAGCAGCTGGGCATAGCCAGTGACATCCACAATGGCCTCTACCTCCCGATTTCGGAAAAAGCGAGTTGAACTTGAGGAGGGGCCTTTCCCCTGGTCCCCAACCAGCCCGTGCAGTAGAAGAATTGGATTCGGTTTTGGGCTTGGTGCTTTGTTTTAGAGAGGAAGTCACTGAACAAAAGGTAAGGCTGAGCAACTGCGGTTCGAAAGGGCCAGGGTTTGCTCCAAAGACCTCAAAAGTGTCTGGCAAAGGCAAACAGCAGGACCCAGTATCAATGCAACTTTCTACCTTTGTGGTTGTTTCAAGGTTCTGAACAACGCTCTTCTTGGAACCTCCTTAGGATGGTGAGCACTGTTCGGCCCCAAAAAGAAACCTGAGGCTGGACTTCGCCTACCGTGTGGGTGTGGTTCCTGTTTTTGGAATTGGTACCCGTTGTCTGGTGGCGTTGCACAGGGAAACCAAACATAAAAGCGAAGCCATTTTGGGGGACCAACCTGAAAAACAGACGAGCCCCCCATGTTGTTGCCGGTTGAAATGACCAACCTTGGTTTTCCTATTGGCACCCACTTTCGGCGTGGCCAAGATTCACCCCGTTTGTTTCTGGGTCCTTTGGGCAAGTAACTGGAAAGTGACTCCATGATTCTCCCTAGCCTGGCTTCACAACTCATACCGCACGGGTGGCGTTACCGAAAGATCGTGATCCAAATGCTTTGGACAAGTGACAAACAGTCATGGGGACATCTTCCAGTTACTTGCCCAAAGAACCAGAAACCAAAGGTGATCACCTCGTGCCACTAAGGTACCAAAATAAGAAAACCTATCTGGGCATTGGCCATGACGAATGGGTACCCTAGGAACACCACAAAACAAGTCGACCTTGGCTTCACCCAGTTTGATCCAGTGGCTCCAAGTGGAAATTTCGAGCCATCCTGCAAACAGAGTGCCGTGAAAATTGGTCAACTTGCAGGAGAAAGCATAAAAAGGAGCTTCTATTATGAATGACAATTCAAGGATATCGACTTTTAAAGCTGACAAGTTTGCAGTATTAGAAATGCACTGGGGGTTACAGTACCTTTAAAACCTGGAAACCCAACATTTCCATTGGAGGCGTAAACTGTTAGTCAGCATTTGAAATCAAATTCGGGCCCCTCGAGTCGAGGCCCTTGGGGTTAGTTATAACAATTGGCAGCTCAAGCATGGACTAATTGTGGGCGTGTAGGCATCCGCTCGGATGTCTCTCCCTCAACTTCAGGAGTGTGCGTATAGATATGTACAGCATACAAATATGTATATATATATATATATGTATGTATATGTACATGTACAATATGCAGTACATGTACACTATGAATATATATATATATATGTGTATTCTTGCGGATGCGGCCCGAACCTATCCAGCGGGGATGATTGCTTTGGTTCAGTAGGGATTTCATGAAGCGCTTCCCTCAGCTGAGTTTCTCATTTCCTGAGTGGGTTGGCCGAACATGCTCACACTTAACGTTGACCCAGGATTATAACCCCGTCCCATTATTACGGGGGTGTTCCTTCCAAAAGTGGTCTGAATCCAACCACTAAAAGGGAACACCCTATTAATCAACCAGGGGTTTAACTTCATCCGGGGTTAACATTGTTTACCACAAAAACGGCCTGCGCAAGGAACACAGGGAGTGAGACACTAAGTATGAACTCCGAAGGCATGGAGGCTTAGATGCCACCAACCGTTTGGAAAGGCCATATTCCGAAATCGAATTCGAAAGACTCCCAGATCCTCAAATTTTAGTCTGCCCTCACATTCGGGTTTGTCTGAACACATGGGTCTCCCCATTGGTTTCACTTGACTCCCTTTAAAGGGTGAGCCTCAAACGAAAATCGAGCCACCCAGAACTAGGTTCTTTGCTGGTGCTCAGTACGGAATGCCCCATGGTGTTGGGAATGAACCGGAAGGGGATTCCCTCAAAGAAAGCCAAATCTGGGATGGTTTTCCTCGGGGTCATTCCGTTTCTCATTCCATCGAACCCCCCTTTTGGGTCTCCCCATTTGTTTCCCTGACTCCCTTTACAGGGTGGGCCTCAAAACAAGAAAATCGAGCCACTCATAACTCGTTTCCTTGGTTGCTGTTGACCCCCCTGCAAAAAGTCGAACTTTTTGGGGGTTTAGCGGAAAACCCCTTGATTTCCCAAAAAGTTAAAGTCCAAAGATCCAACCCAGTAGCAGTCAAGTTTCAGAGACCTCAGAGAGCATACCGGGCCTCGGTCTTGTAGGGCGTTATGAAGCGCAGGAGTTCCACACTCTGCGCCTGACTTGACCAAAATCGACCAAACCCCGCGGTTTGGAAAATAATCACGTGACAAAACGGGCGTGGCTGCGTTTTCCAACCCTCCAAGGTTGGCGTCCAACCATTTTGTTTAGGGATTGGAATGTTTGCAGGAAACCCTCAAAAACTGGGGCAGCCAAGCTGTTGTTTGAAAAGAACCAGGATGGAAAAGAAGAGGAATCAACCCCCAGAAACCTCTGCAAAAATGGGCTTTGGATTTTCCTTGTGGTTTACGTTTAAAACCAAATAAAAAGAACAGACGCATCTCGCTTTCAGGTTCTCTACAACTGGCTTGGTTTTGAGCCCCGTCATTTGGAAGTGTTTCGGGGTGGTGTCCCATTCACCCTCAAGAACCTGGGGTCATCCAACCAATCCAAAACCACCGACTTGGGGTTAGCTGAAACACGGTGGCGTCCCATTCTCCGATTCATCACATGCCCAAAGAGCACGCCAAACCTATATGACTGTTACGTGCCCAGCCAAAGGAGGCCCCCATGACATGGCTGGCAGAAGGCAACTCAGTGATGGGCCCAAGCTTCAAAAAAGACCCCTAGACCCGGGGGTTCAGTGGGAGAGTGCAAGGTTTGCCCGAAGCCTGCTTTGGGTTAGGCAGAGCATACCGGCAAGATAAACCGTCCAGAATCTAAACCTTAGGACTTTTCCTTCATGGGTTCAATGGGTGCCCCCAAGGCAGCACGGTACTTATTGAAGGGGAAAACGTAGACGTAGACTAGGTCCTCCAGTAAAGAGGTCAGAATACGGGTACCCTTTTCTTCCGTGGTTTATTTTAGTAGGGGAACCCTACCAACCAAAAAAGGTAAAAGGGCGGCACTACTGGGGGACCTAGTATGTAGAGGTAGGCGTTGAAGGACAGCCCTTCCCGGTGTAATTTTCGACTGCAAGCAAGAATTGCCCTCTGCCCCCCGAGGGCAGAAGGCAACATCTGAGAGCGCCCCTTGATGGTCACCCACAATTTTTACAACGATTCCAAAACCCGAAACAAGGGGTCCCCAAGTAAAGGACCCACATGGCCGTGTGGGTCAACACCCATGGTAGCATTTTGAGGTAGGTGCACCACCCATTTTAGCCTATTTTAGCGGGGATTGGGATGTTCACTGTGGGACGGAGTTTTGACCCATAGCCACATCATGGTAGCTTGCTTTGCCCTCAGATAAGATCGCCATCATCACAGGCAAATGGTCATCAAACCATGCCCTGTGTCAAGTGATAAAGGGTACCTCTCAGGCGGCTAATGCGGAAGTGGGGACTTGCCCTCGCACCAACAAAAATAGTGGAATCCGTTAACATCCAGTACCTCTTCCACAAAAATGGAGCCCCCAGATTACTACACCAATGCAACTCGTAGGGGGGTGTGACCCACAAAGTGAAGGATTCCCACTGAAGGGGGCACCCCTGTATCAGCCAGGGGTTTCCGGGGTTAACATTACTCAGTTTCATGCATTCCCCTTCCACAAAGATGGAAGCGCACAGGACCCCATTCCCAGAGCACTCGTTTTGCAGCTGACAGCTGGGGTCTAGGCCCAAATAGACTGCAGAGTGGTTCGGAGCTGCTCCGGGCCAGGGTTCCGGAAGGATTGGGGGGGGGTTGCTGTTGGGGATGCCGCTGCTCATTTTCTTGAAACGTGATGCGTCAACATCATGGCTCTGTGGCGCCCACTTGTTTGTCAAGTGAAACTGGCATGCCAACGACCATTACGTGCGGACTTGGAGCAGGACTTGCTGCCTGCTGCATCTGGTACTTCCGCAGCCCGGTAAAGACACCAAGAAGGGCGAAGCAGACCCAAATGAGGCGCAGCACATGCTTCACTGCGTTCAGCCCCGCGTAGTCGTAGTCCTCAGTCACGGTCATGGACTCCGTAGGCAGGTCCAGCAGAAGGAGGAACACCACATCTCCTGTGAAGGCGATCAGCAAGGGATAGTCCAGAAGTCGTGGGTTGCTCAGAGAGCATTCCCCCAGCGGGCACGGAGGCGGCACGTCCGGCATCTCACAGCAGCAGGGAGCACAACAGCGGGAGATGAGCATAAGGAGCAAAGTCACGAAAGCGCCCAAACTGATCAGCCCCATGACCGCCCACATCTCCAGCCCAATAATGGTCAAACACACCATGATCAAGTTCCCAAATCCGTAGCCGGCACAAGCAGCGATATACCAAACCTGCATCGTAGGACTGGCCCCGAAATCGTTGCAGCACTTCCCATCGGACATGCCACCAACGTTGTGCTTGCCTTGGGCAAGGGCACGTGCGCTGGTCGCAGCTTGAGCCAAGAGCAACGTCATTGCAATGAATGTGGGCTTGCATGTTGTGAGGCTGAGACACAGCCGAGGGTTGCATTTGAGACACTGAGAGGGGTGGTTGCTGGCCCCAGAACATCCCAGACACTGCTAGTGGCATGAGCGACTTCAGCGAGCCTCCCTCGTGGTTTTGATTGGTGAAGGGTGGCTTCCCATTTGCCCACAAGAACCAGGGGTGCAACCCTCCCAAACCGATCCAAACCACTAACGCAGGGCTACCTGAGGGCTAAGGATAGGGCTACCTGAGGATAGGCTACCTAACGAGCACCTCCAAATCAATCTTTCATCAAGCGAACTTTCGGGGTCCCACCGGTGCTCCTGCTTGGCACTACCTACCGCGGGTACTTGCAGATCGGCTCCCCCCACTCTCCCCTTTGGGCTGTCGTTGCGTGGCGGCGGTTGCCCCCTGCCAAAAAAGTAACACACTTGATCCCAAAAGAGTTAAACGATGAAAATCAACATGTGCTATCTAGCACCCAGGTGCATCAGTTGGCAGAACAAAACCTTGCATAGCGCAGAGGGCAAGCGGGTTGTTGTTGTTGTTTCTCTTGCAGCAATGCGCTACGCATCGGCTTCCTTCTTTTGTTGGTCGGCTTGCATTCAACCAGTCATAATTAAGCAATCTACAGGTGCAAACAAATCAAGCATTGGAGCAACACCTCCCCCCTCCCCCCCCACCCTTGTGTTGAATCAATGAGCCCGAAAATGCACGCAAGGAGGGGCCGCCACGTTCGGGATGGACAGGTTTAAAACATGAGAGATCGATTCAGCCTGGTGCCCAGGACACGTAAGTTTCTCCTCAGGTGCTCCACAGGAGTGCTTATCCACATTTACCCTCATGGGTCAAATGTTTGTAAATATTACCTACATGCATTGTGCAGGAAATGTAAAATGTACCTAGCTCCACTGGGGTTTTGCCAACAACCCCAATCGATGTTGCAAGACGCCGTGCAGTGAGAAATGTCGAAAGCCACTCACCGAAGCGGAGCGGGAAAAATGCCTCGTCCGTCAGCTCCTGCAAGGAACGGGCATGGAAGCTTTCTGGCAGATATTCAGCATGAATTGTCAAATGCAAAGCAATCAAACAAGGAAAAAGCCCAGGTGGTATCCCCAACAGCCCCGGAACGCTGTGAAACCCTCCTGCAAGCTGCCCCAAAACCACCCCAACGCCCATCGGGGTGCCCAAAGACCCCGAAGCTTTGCTGTTGGAAAAACAGAGGGGTCAAGAATACACAAAACCTCACTTCCTGAGTGGATCGGCACAAAACGTCGGAACTAGTCAGCATGCCTTCCAAAAAGGTACAATGCCCCGGAACACAGGGTAAATGGTTGAAATGGGTGTGGCTCAAAATGGTGAACCCAATATTTCTGTTCACAGGGGAACCAAAAGTTGATATGTTGCCATATTGGGTGGTGCACCCACGTGGGCTATGCCATGATATGCCTCCCAAAAAAAACAAAACAAAAAACATGGAGTCCGGCAACTCAGGGAGCAAGAACCACTCTTGGGGTTTCCATGGCAAGCGACAAGTGATATTAACCTGGATTGAGCAAGATCATTCTCCAAACCAGAGGCATGAGGGCTGCTATAGTTGAGAGGTAACCCCCCCCCCAAAAAAAAACGGGTGCTTTCTGCTCCCCTGCTAAAAGTTCAATTTTTAGTGGCTTAATGGAAAACCCATTAGTTGGCAAAAAGTTAAAGTCCTAACATCCAAGCAAAATGCACCAAAGAAAATATGTGTTTCCTTGCGGCCCCTTACCAAAAGCCACGACATGCCCGCCCGAGTCCTCCTCCAACAGAGCGACCTGGCTATGGTGCTGCAGCAAGCTCACCGCACCCGAGGGAGCCCATCGGCTGATCAGCAGCAAGCCCAGCAGTGGCACCGTGAGGCGCATCCTTTCAACTCGGCAAAAACCAGCATTTGGCCCGATTTGTTCCACGGCAACCTGGGGGGGGGGGGGCTGCTTTGAAAACGGAGATTCGGAACTCAAGAAGGAGTCCCCCAAAAGAGTTTGACTCAAAATAGGAACACCAACACCGTGTGTGTGTGTGTGTTTCCTTTTGGTGCACGTCTATCACCTGACTTTCGAGGTCTCACGTGGGTGTAGCTTTCAGGCATTCTTGCCGTTTTTTCTCGCCTGCGATCAAATGGATGGCGCCAAAAAGGTTCTGGAACTTTTTCTGTGCCACTCACATGGTCCAAACCAAAAAAGCATAAAGTACAGGAACGCAGGAAGTTAGTTGTTGTTCTTTGGATAGTCTTAACATACTTGAGGTTGGCCCATATGGGTTTTGGTACTTACTTGAGGTTAACCCAACTGTTTTGGGTACTTCCCGGAAGTTGGCCAGAAAGCAGAGCCGTACTTGCTTCAGGTGGGTTTGGGTACTTACCGGAGGTTGGCCCAACAAAGCAGTGCAAGCTTTTCTCACTTCCGAACGAGAGGACTGGCCAAACAAAGCTCCCAGACTTTGCCACTAAAATTGTCCAAGCCCAACAAGTGGCGATCAAATCCGAAACGGAACTCGGGAGGTGAGTTTCTGCTGCCTCTCACGTGCAATCCCCCGCCCCAAAGGTCCAGGGCAGGTCCCCAAAACAAACATTGCCATATTCAGGACCGCCTTGTGGCTACTGCAAGTCGTTAGCGTATGAGGGCAGAAGATTCCTTGAAGTCAGACTGATTGTTCTGAGTTGAAGGCTTGGGAATCTTCTACTGGAAAGAATGATAAAATATCTCCAGTAGTGATGAAATACTCATCAGCAAATACTGTTAAGCAAATGGAAGGAAGTGTATTTTGCCCCACTGTCCCCTCCTTGGGCTCCTTTGCAGCGACCTTAGGAAAAAGGCAGCCCCAGAAGGATGCCACCGAACCACCTTCTTGGGGGAGTTCAACCTGACTCACGCGAAACCGCTCTCATTTTGCCAGGTGTCGAGGAGGACAGGCTGAAGCGGGGCCTTCTCACACTTTCCGCCAGCAGAGGGCTATCCTCCATGCGCCAACCCTCTGGCGATCGCTCGATTGATCGAGCGATCGCCAGAGGTCGAGGATAAGAAGACCTTCCCGCGCCCCCGTGCCTACGGAAGGGGTGACCAGGCAGAGGGTCAGGCCCTTGAGCCTTTGAAGAGACAACCGCAGCCGGGCAGGGCAGCACAGGAACGAACCTGTTGCCTCCAAAGGAATCAGCCTGGGCAAAGATGCGGGGGGGTGGGGGTTATGCCTCGCAAAATTGAAGATGCCTTGCCAAGAATAAAACGGACACCTCCACCTCCGATTCAAACACATGTTCCATTAGTCTTGGCATTCCATCTCAATTGTCCTTGCCTGTCACTTGCCACTCACAAGGGGGCCCTCAATAAGAGCACCCACTGATCTCCGCCGCCGCCCCGAGTTTCCATCAGAGTTCTCACCGAAAAATCTATGAGGGCGGCTCAAGGCCAAAGCCTTCGCTTTAGGTGGATCCTTGTTGTGACGTCCTGCTCGGAGGGTACCAGGCTATGAAGGTGCAAACGTCAACTCACGCAGATCATGTCAGAGAAAACAACCTCTGTCTTGAATGGCCACTCATTGAAAATGAACAGCACCAAAAAGAAGCCATATGCCTCCTGAGTGGTTTGGATTGGCTTAGGGATTTGAACCCTCAGTTCTTGTTGAAACCAGCCCCCCCCCAAAAAGAAGAAGAAGAAAGAATTAGTGTTGCAGAACCTCCGGACCAAGCCAAGAAACCAACTCGGGGACAAGTAAAAGTCACAAAACCAAAACAATACGGCCAGCTTGGCCCACACCTGGGCCACACAGAAAACCATATCGCCCGGTCCTGTTCATGTTTTCTGCCCGGATTTTCCAACAGTTCTGGAGAGGAGACTCCTCCGATCAGGAATTGCCTTAGGGCAACAACTTCCCACGTGCAACTGGAAATGCTTTGGGCCGGAAGCTTTGGGCTTGAGGACTCAAAGTGGTTCGTCCGGGGGTGGCATGTTGGAATTTCGAGGCTTGGGGGGATACGATTTTTCCAAGCAAAAGGTGCTAAGGATGAAACAACGGTGCTAAGCATCCATGAAACTTGGTGAGTCAAAGAAACCGCAACGGACATCGGCTGCCGAACGGCCAATGTCTACTTTGACTCAAGCGTAAAAAACAAACAGTTGCGACCAGGACACTTTGGTCTTTCACTGGGCCCAGGAAGAAAAGGGCAAACCACTGGGATCCAAATGTAATCTTGACAGCCGAAGTCAGTAGACTGCCCATTCTTAAAAGGGGAATGTAATGTGACAAATATGAGGGATCCAGGAATATCAAGCATGCAAAAGAAGCACCAAAACGCTGAGAAGGATACCAACCCCTGAGCAAACGCCAGAAAAGCGCGCGTGTCCACCACCACCTTCAACCAAAAAATAAAAAAAATAATTAAAAAAAAACTTTTCCTCCAGCACCGGCCGGGCGGGCCTTCCGTTTTTTTCTTTTGGGGGGGGGGGTGTGCGGTTTGGACCCCGGGGACGGCCTCGTTGGCCCCGCCCTTCGGCCCCCCGGCGCCCCGAGGCTTCGCCCGAGGCCGCGCTTCGGGGCCCCGGGCCGCGTGGTTGTTCTGGATGGCGTCCTCCAGGGCGGTGCCGCCCCAGCGGTCCTTGAAGTTGGGATCCGCGCGCGAGTCCAGCAGGAAGGAGATCACCTCCCACAGCAGATTTTCTCATTCTCTTTCTTTTGCAAGGGGGGTTTTGGGAAATGGGGTCCTTTTCTTATGGCATTTTTTGAGGTACTAGTTGTGTTGTTTTTTTTGGGCTTTTTGTGTTGTTGTTGTTTTTGTGCTTTGAACTTGGGATTTGATAGTTGGGGATGGGATGGGATTCTTGGTGTTTTGGTACCACTCGTTTTTTTGTCTTGGTATTTGGGGATGGGAACGTTTGGGGTCCTTTTTCTTGACGGTTTCTGGGGGTGATCAAAGTCAGTAAATGGAATCGGTTGTTTCCCCTTTAATCCACCACTGAACGGGGCTGACTTTGATTGTGGTACAGTGATGAGGCCAGTGCCAGGCCAACCACTGGACTGCTGGCGTTTTCCGTTTTCAGGGCCTTTCCGAGCCAGTTCCCGGTGTGCCTGCGGCTTCCAGCATGTCAACTCCTGGATGGCTCAATTCCTCCATGCAAAAAATTAAACATAGCAGCTGGTGCCCAAGAGTCGACTGACAAGCACTCATTTAGCAGTTCAGGAAGAATCCATCGGAACTTGTCCTAAAGTCGCTGGGACCCTCCTCGGGATTGTGCAAGCCCAGCGCGAGACCAAAACGAATTGGTGTGTCGGAACCTTCCTGCCCTGTCCTTCCAAAACCCCGCAAGGGTACCTTGAAAATGAGCCCCCCCTCCCAAAAAAACGGGCCCTAATTCTGATCGTTCAGAGGCTCTCTTGCAGCTGCATAGCTTTGCATCATCTCTGAAATCCCCAGGAGTTGGGCTCCAAATCCAGCCGAACTTCCGCTACCTCCAAGCCCAAAACAAACCAACTCACCTGCCCAAAGGACCGGAAGCAAAAGGTGAACCGGTTTGCCTTCCTTTTCTCTGTCAAATACCTGGGAAACAACAACTTACCACCATAGTTTGTCCTTGAAAAGGGTACACCATGACATCCGAAAAGCTTGCTCGAAGGACCCAGTCGGAGCTCTTTGCCTTTTCGAGCGCCCTCTGATTCTTCATGGGGGGCCAAACCCAAAAAACAAAAAACACCAAGCTTGGCCATTGAAGTGACACGCTCATAATCAACCTCTGAGTGGTGGTTTTCATGAAACTCACCCTGAAAAGGACCTTTCAGGGACCCCTCCCAACAGAAAGGAACACACAAACAGCAACGCCGACAACCAACCAACCAACCAGCCAGCCAGCCAGCCAGCCGGCCAACCAACCAACCAACCAACCAACCAACTCAGAAAACCCCACCTGCCCTTGCTGTGTCGCTTCCGCTTTCGCTACGCTTCTGCCGAAACCCCCTCTCTCCACGCCTCGAGCTTTCCCTCAGAGGCGGCGAGGTGCAAGGCGGTGCGCAGGTCATAGTCCCCACCTCCCGCTGAAACGCTCCCCTCGTAGGGTTCGCCCGGTTTGGAGCCAGCGGCTGGGTTTGGAGGTGGTGTTTATTTTAATTTACCTGCTAGTTTCCCATGATCCATCTAAAGCAAGCTGAAAAGCTGCCCCGGCTGGCATCCTGTTTGCAGCCAGCGGCTGGGACCCGTTTCCGTGCAAACCCTCTAGAGGGCTCCCTAACGAAGCCAAACTTTGCTTCTTGGTCGGTTTCAGCATTTCTTTGTGGTGAGCCGGGGGCTGGGGTTTCCCATGTAAAGGCCTCTAGAGCCACCCAAGGGCGGCTTGGGGCCGGGTGGTTTGGAGGTAGCCAACTCATTTCACCTGCAAAAGCCAGGGTGCAAATAATTGCAAATATGCACAAATCCCAATCCAAACCAATGCAAACCAAGGGCATACCTGATACTTTGGAACCAAAAGTCACATGGCCCTCCCTGATGCGGTGTGGAAGGGTAGCCTCTGGCAGGTTTCATGGCAATGATGGTAGAATCTCAGAAGTAACCCCTACACACGCCCCCTCCCCCCCCAGGGAAAGAATGGGGTTAGGTTTGTCGGTGGTGAGTGGGTTGTGAGTAGCTAACTAGGTTTTCGTGGTTAGAGGGTTGGTTAGTGGTTGCTTGGTGGGCGTTTAAATTATTGTAGGAGTTCAATTCTGATCCCTTCATACTGGCAACTCTCCTATGAGGGTTTGGAGCATTTATCTGTTAATTTTGGGTCGTGGAGTGCTTTATAAGCGAAGGCAGAATCAATGTGTTGAATCATGTAGACCCTCAGAATATTATCCCCCCACCATACGCTAGAGGAATATGTCACTACGCAGCCACATACTTTATGTGCTGCCTGTGTCTCTTAACCATGACTTTGTCAGATTATACTTATATCCTACTTATGCGAAAAAAGAACCCTTCTCACTTCAGTTGCTGGACTGTCATTTTGGCACCATCCACGGGTTCTGAGTCTCGTTTGAACCAAATTTATTTTAGCAGCTTGCATTGCTCAATCTTCTGGTGGAAGCTGCGGCATGGAGGCTTCTGAGTCGACTTGCTGGGATAATGTTGCGGCGAAGGAGATGTGAGATCGGCTGAATGAGGCTTTTCAGACGTACGCGCGAACTCTCACATCCATTGCTGGGTAAAGCTGATTATTCATATCTCTGCGACGAGCGGGTTTGCCAATGGAGGTGTGGCAGCCAAACATGGCAGATCCAGAACTGAAGCTGATGTTCAAAGTCGCGCGAACTATCGGTACACCCCAACACAAATCCAATGTGTGTTTGTTCCCGTGGGTCACTTCCCCTTCAAACAAAAGTTGGTCAAGCTGGTGGGTGCCACTCGAAGCCATCGCCACTTTGGGAGGGACATCTTTCGGGACGCAACTCTCCGAGCCGCATTGTGGCCTGGTTGCCGCCTCAGACGTTTCCTTCGACCCATGCTTTCGGCGGGTCTTTTTCTCCCAGCAATGGAAAATGGCTTTTTCCTGTGCGCTGCACCGATACTCACCGACCCTTTTGGTGGTTTCCCCTTTCACTTTTGTTTTAACAGCCCAAGGTTCGGTAGTAACATAATCTTACTAAACAGTCAAACATTATTTTCCTTGGAAATAAGTTCACGGAACCCGACTGCAAGGGCGAGGCGCTGTTGGGGTCGATCTTCACCTCGATGAGCTCTTGCAAGGCCTGGGTCAGGGGAGGGGGGGCGTCCGGCAGAGAGCTTCACTCCGCTGGTTTTTTCCCGTGCAACTGCGGATTGATGAAATCCGTTCGCACCACTTTGAAACCATGGGAACCCATCCTGGTTGGTATTTACAGGGGCAATCATCATTCCAGGATTTCGTCCATCCACAGAATGTTGAGAAGTCACCCTGCAAACACCCCTCACCAAATCTGGGGGAGCAAGGAATTCGGAGTTTGAGCAACCTGGCGGAAGAATAGGGAGGAAACCCCCCACGTGCGGAATTCTACACCGGGACGCTCCGGGTTCCTATCCATTCTCCTGGTTGGGGCTCTCCAGGTTGGAAGGCAAGCTCACTTCCCTTTCTCACTGCTTGAGTGGATTTGCCCAAAAGAAGTAAACTTTTTCTCGGCTGCTTTCTGCTCCCCTGCTAAAAGTTTAACCTTTAGTGGTTTAATGGAAAACCCATTAGTTGGCAAAAAGTTAAAGTCCTAACAGCCAAGCAGTTTACCACCCGAATGTTCTTCAAAAGGCGAAAGTCCGGGAACTCAGGAAGTGAGCCTTTTCCCACCTAGCAAAAGCAAGAGGGGACGCACATTTCCCCAGAGGCTGAGGTGGCTGGCCATAGAAAAGTGACCGCCCCGGTTGAAGGTGGGTGTACGTGGGTTGTCCTTCCCCGCAGGCAAACCCCTCCACCAATAACAAGGGAAAGAACTGGTCCAAACCGGGCGTGGGGAGCGTAATTCTAGACCTGTCAAACTTGTCCCAAGGAAAAACGCTGCTTCTCAGATCACTTCCTGAGTGGATCGGCCGACGCAAGTTCGTGTTGCTGCTAGCCACTTACCAAAAAGTATAAAGCAAAGACACCTGGACTCAAAATGGCGTTTGCGAATTCCTGACCCTCTATTGGGACCACACGCCAAGTCCTTTCGTGACCCAAAAAATTCGGAATTGCGGAGTGAATCTGCCTACTTAAGCCCACAAAACTGGGGAAGAGTGAGTCAATGCCTCAACCGGGCCGTGCGGCCATCAAGTTTCCACTGGAGGCTGCGTCGCAAAGCGCCGTGGCCGGATCCTGGCGCTAGTTTTTGGAGCTGAGGTGAGAGGTATTCAGCCCTGTTCAGTTTGGTTCGGTTTGCAGCCGCCTTGAGGTTGGTTTTGCGCCCCAGGGTTTGCTCGATCTTGGGTAGGCGCTGGCGGGTTATCACCCAGCAAACCGCCAGTTAGGCGTATAACCCCCAACCGAACAACAGCGGCCAAGTGCCCAACGCAACAAAAAAAAAAACACCTTGATTTCGCTAAATGTTAAGTCTAAAGATCATGGTCCCCGCTGGCATCTTCATATTGTCGCCGACATGAGGGTGAATTGTCAGGCTGTCTGGGTTCCAAGACTGGGACGTTCTACGGTTGGGGTAAGGGGACAAGCCTCATCTGCCCCACTCATCGCTGCAACTCCAAACCTACCAAGCAGCTCGGGTTTGATAGAGACGACTTTGGCCAGATTTGCCCGGCAATACTTCTCGGGTGACCCTGGGAGATGTTGCCTTAAGGGGCATGGTGAGCATCCAAGTTGTGAACATGTTGTCCAAAATGCCAGTGCCATGAGCCCAACATCGGACGCTGGGACTTGCCACCAGGTTAAACCAAAAAGCATGGGTCAAAGAACGCAGCCCGCAACCCTACGCATTTGTTGTACCAACGTTGAAACGCCGGCAAAACCCTTGACACAATGGCAGCGTTCAACTCGAACAGGTGCAGTCCAGCGAATCGGAACATTGAACCCATTTTTCCACGAGATGCCACTGCGCCCCTCCCTCCAGATCAGCCATTCCGCAAAGCAAAGGACAAAAAGCAGAGCAGTGCTGAATGGGTGGTCTAAGGCCAAGTGTGCGTGAACCCACCTATGCTCACGGCTCTGCTAAAGCAACCTGCTTGAAGCCATTCAGCAAACTGTATATGGGTGTGTCTCTTTTTAGCGGGCCCCCCGAAAACGGCGGTATTCCTTGTGGTGTCCTTTTTAAACCCCGTTAAAGGAGGGGGTAGCCTCAAAATCAAAGTCAGACATACCGTTGTTCCACCCTTGAAAGGCCTTCCCCCATCCTCCAAATTCAGGTCGGCGTTTTGGTCCATCAGCAGTTCGATGACTGCGCTGAACTTGCCCAACACGGCATCCTGAGCGCATGCAAAGCAACAGGCACCCAAAACCTATCTCTACCCTTCTTAGGAGTCCAGAACTCACTTTCCCAGGGCGGCCACTGGAAGAAAATCCAAACAGTTGGTTTACCACTATAAACTGGTCTTCCCAAACAGTTCAAAGTCCAACCCAACGCGACAACATGACGCTAAGAGGCGTCTGCGAACGTGCTGGTTGTTTGCATTCCTACTCCTGCAACTGTCCGCAAACAAGTAAATGCCGAGGAAGCCTCAAATGGGCCGGACACAAAGCACCCCCCAACACGCAAATTCCCCAGTTGTCCAAAGTGTGGCTGGCGAAAAAGAGGAAACCCTTTGGGCTAAAATATGTGGTGGGGCCCACCTAAAGCAAACACCAACATGTGACACTTGCCACTGGGCCACTGGGACTTCGAAGGCCAGCGTGGAAAGCTGCAACGTTGTGGACCCCAGCACGTTTACTCGGCTTATGCAAACGATCAGCACGCTCCGCCAGCAATCTGATTTTACTGACTTAAGAGTTGCACCACTCCTTGACCCCCTCTGTTCCGGTAATCTTAGCATACGTGCAATACAGCGCAATTCCATTTGCTTGACTGACCCCTAGTGGCTTTGAAAAGGCTTCAGCATGACAGCATGTAGCCATTGTCAGCCAGGCATCTCTCAGGGGTGTGCCATTCCAACGATCCTGAACGTTCACGTTGCCTGCACGAAACGCTTTTGGCGAGCGCATGGCCTATCAAGAACATCCCGCTCCCAAACAGTAAGCCCCAGTGATATCCGTAAGAGCCCCGGAACCCTCCTTTTGAACCCTCCCTGAAAGCTGCCCGGCAGAAACCCCATAGCCTTCAGCTGGAAGGAAAAAAACACAAAACAACAACACAACCCCCGACAAAAAAATGGGAACGGCAAAGGGCCTTGCGAGTTTGCTTAGTTCAAACCGAAAAGGAGAACTTTGCGGTTTTCTGATGCCAACTCGCCAACCTTTCTTCTGTCCAGGCCCCAAGGAAGGGCCCTGCTTTTACTTCTCCAGTCGATCCGGCTGTCAGGTTGATGGGGCAGAGCAAAAGAGTATCGATGAGACTAGTTTCAGCGGTTCTCGAGCCGCGCAAGCAATCTGGCGTTCACCATGCTTGTCTCAAAATGGTGGTTTTCCGTTCGGCTTCCCTTGAAAACCACTGAAAAAGGGGGGTGCCCTCAACAAAAGGACACACCCATGCAAACATAATCGCCAATGGCAGGGCGATCAAGACACGTGACTTCGCCTTTGTCGCTACCAAGGGGCCACCAATAGGTTCTCAGTGCCCACACAAGATCAAGCGAGCAACGGTAGGTGGGTGAAGGCGTTAGTCGCGATTGGTTCCATCAGGTCAAGGGGCCCTTTCCTCCGACTTCTGGGGCCTTCCAGACCGCATTTGGGTTTTGACTCAGCCGGTGAAAGATCCTACAGGAATCTTCAGCAGCCCCAGGCAACACTGCAAGTGATTGAGAAACTTGGAGTCTACAAATCCTCCCTTGGCACCTGCTCAACTGCTTACGAAACTGGGTCGCCCCACAAGGAAACCAATCGGTGCCTTGTAGTCTTACAGTGCTCCATTGAACAAGCATCATTGATCCGGTACATCACCCTTAGTTTGGTAACGGATTTGGGGTTGAACCGCTGGTTCTTGTGTACATAGGACACCACCCGCTACCACCACTTCAAACCCCTGCTTGGGGGCTTTCTTGTCAGGGGGGCCTTCTTAACTTGGCCCAACTCCGAGGTGCTCACAAACCAACATAAGTTCAGATTCTGCTTGGTATTTGGCCATCCATCTGATCATCTTGGAGGCCCCACTACCACTGAACATACTCACTTAGAATGGGGAAGTGTCCACATACGGCGCCCGCACCATGGTTCCTTCTCGCTTCCCAAGGCTACCGGACCCTCATGAACTGGAAGAAGGTGTCCATCACGTGATGCTTTTCCCAGATTCAATCCAGCAACCCTGCTCCTTGATATGGTGCTTGTTCCTTTGCAGTGACGAACCCTCACTAAAACCAGGAACACCCCCATATTATAAAGAAGTCTAGTGATCCTGGGTAGGCATTACAAAGACCACTCCGCCTTCTGCCTTGATCAGGATCTTTATGACCTGGGCTGGGCTTCCCCGCGCGCGTAAGGGTCTGGGACCCTTCGAAGTGGGGTGGCCGGGGAAATTTCATGGGTGCCAAAGAAATAGCAGGGTAACAACGAACATGATCCACCCTTGGTGGTTCCGTGCGGGGAAAGTTGAAAGTTATGGGCTGCTAGAGCCATGACTTAACCACTTGGGCAGGTGTACAGTGCCACATTTGCTTTGACACCTGGCGAAACAAAGAACCACCTGACAAGAGTAAGCACACGCGCAATCATGCAATGCCTGCCTTTAGCGCATACACCAACTTCCCTGGGAAGCACACGTCGCAACGTGCACACAAACACAAAAAAACCAAGAAAAGCTGCAAGCCGAAGGGCATGACCCAGGGCCGAGCTGCAAGGCGAGTGACTAGCATGCAGGACTGAAGGACCAGCAAGGTGACTGGTGACTATTAGTACCAACCCAGGATTAATAAACCCAAGTTTATTAATATGGTTTTTTGATTGGTTTTAGTGGGGTTTCAACATTTTTGGAGGGGCCCCACCCTCATATCAAAATAGGCAGGGGTGTATTCATCCCGGGTTGACATTGGTGACAATAGGACTGAAGGATTAAAGGCTAAAACCTTCCCATCCAACCAGCTCCTCTAGAGAAGGCATTCGCCCGAGTGGGCATTCTTCCCCAGCAAAGAATCGAAACCCAAGGTACGGCCTAGGAAAACCAAGGATCCACCACCAAGCTTCCACAAATTTGGGCCACCATGCAGGCTAAAGACAGCAGCAGAAACAAACGACTGTAGCTATAGCTAAAGGTTTGCCCGTAAGGCCAGTTTGTCCCAAAGGCTTCTAGCAGGGTCACTTGCAGGTTCAGCATCGGTAGCTTCAGCCCAAGGACCATGGTAAAAACAAAAAAGAGAGTAGACTTTGGAAGGCGCTGGGGCTGCTGGGAAGAGTGGGGAGGATTCGTTGTCCAAACTGCAAGCTTGGATGTCGCTAAGCAGGCAGGTTTTTAAGGCAGGCTTTTAAGGCAGCCCCCCCCTTGCCGGCCCCCAACAATGATCCAGGGGTCACCGGAGTTCCACTTCAATAGCTGCAATTTACCAGTGGTGTCGATTGAAATTGCCGCTATTAGAAGGGACATGGAGGAAACGCTGTGGTCAGGTGCCCACTAATTTTTGTGGCGTGAAGTCCTCATATTGAGGCCGCGTGTATCACAGCGTGCTGTGAGTGCCTCATCAACGCATTGCTGCAGAATGGCAGATGCTTGGATTTGGATCTGGGCCCCAGCTCATTTTGAAGCATCTAGGGAAGGTACCCAACCTCCAAATCACCAAGAGGTAAAAGGTGAAACGAACAGAACCAAACAACCCAAGCTCATGCAAAGAACGGCGAACATGTTCTACCCACAAAGTGAGCTAGCTATAGCCATGGTGTCAACCACCCCTGTGGTAGTTACTCATAACAAGGGTTCTAACCCAGGCCAGGCGCAAGAACAACTTTCTGTCAAAACCTTTAGCTCTTGAAAAAGGCGAAGCTTACACAGAAACGCACGCCTTACAGGTCGATGCCAAGTTTTTCATCACACCTTCATAGCAAAAAAAAACACCGCTTGCGGTCGAACATACCCATGAACACTGCGATCAGAGATTCCCCCACGGAACCAAATAACATCCAAAATCGTTTTTTGCGTGCGCCCGCGGATTCCCAAATCCTAACTCAACGGGCCATTCGCCCACCCCATTATCCCTTAAGCTGCAACTAAAATAACATGATAAACCTCAACCACCATCTCTACCATCCCCTTCGACGGGAAACTGGATTCCAAATCACCACAAACCTAAGGGGAATTGGCATTAAAAACACACCAATGGCCTAGTGCTGACCCCATTTAAACAAACCCGTCCTAGTGGGGTGTTCCCTCCAAAACAGACCCCCTGGTAAGTGGCATAATGTTAACCCCGTTAACCCCGGATTAATAAACCCTTGGTTGACTAATAGGGGGGCGTCCCCTATTCGTGGGGATTCATCACTTTTGGAGGGAACACCCCCCTAATCATGGGACGGGAAAACCATGTAAACCCGTGGCTTGCCCATCGATTCTCAACCAAACTCACAAAGGACACCCAGACCTTCCAAGCCGCCAGGAGCAAAGGAAAATAAAAACCCATGCCTAAGCAAAGGGACAAACGACAATAAAGGGACAAAACCAGCCGAGCGCCCAAGGTGACCAAACAAAAAAGCATCTTTAGTAGTCATGAGTTCCTTTTCAAAAACCAAAAAAAAAAAAAAAACATACATTGTCATTTCAGCCAATGCTTATACCTCCCCAAGCCGACCCAGGCCCCAGTTTCGAGGAATCCGAGGACTCCGAGGGCCGAGGGGCGTGGTCCCTGCCCTCCGCGGCCGCAAGGTGCATGGCGCTGCGCACGTCCGAGTTCGCGGTGTCCACGAAGACGCGCTTCCGCAGCAGGAGCTCCACCTACGTCCCACCGGCGTGCGCCATGTTTTTAAAGATGTCCATTTGATTGTATATGTGGATTTCTATTTCTAGCTTTGTTTGTTTGTGTTGCTTTTTTTTGTGTTTCTATTTTTTGTATTTCTTGTTTTTCTGTTTGGGGGGGGGGGGTCGGTTGTCGTTTGGTTTCCCTAAAAACAACAACCGCAAAAACCCGAGGCAGTCAAAATTCTTGGGGGGGGAGGGGCCCCGGGGCGGGAGTGAAAGCCGCACGTGTTATTTTATTTGTTTTCTCCGATGAGATGGTGGTCGACTTTTTGGGGGGAAAGAGGTCAGGTAAAGAAGGGGCCTGAACACATCTACATGTCTCAAAAGCAGATCTCGCAAGTGGATGGATGGATCATGAAAAGCTGTCCTAGGTCCTCCAGTAGGGAGGTTAGAATACGGCTAGCAACTTTTTTCAGTAGCCTATGCAAGGGAACCCTCCCCCAAAAAAGTTGGTACAAGGGCACTACTGGAGGACCTAGTGTCCATCTCGGGAACTGAGAAATTGAATTGAATCAGAGCTCCATGTCGCCAGCTTTTTGGTTTCCCTAAACCTCAAAAGCGGCCTGAGGATAGACCGTGGCCCACATCTGAGGCATTGAACAAGCATCAGATTCTGTGTCAGCTCTGTCCTAAACTCGAAGCTCGTTTTGCCTTCCGGAACTTTCAGCTTTCTCTATTTGCACGGAAGGGCGAGTGGACACTACTCTCTTTAGGGACCTTTTGGGTGTCCCCCTCCCAGTTTGGAAATTCCCTATTTCAACTCATGGCCACCCAAAGGGTGCTGATTAAGAAAAGTCAAACGATGAGTCATCCAGACAGTGGCAAAATCAAAAGACATTGGCCACTTTGCACCCAGACGAATGAAACAAACCTCGAGTCCAGGACAAACGTGAGATGACTAAGCAAAAGAGAGGCGAACCTTGCAGAGACAACGAAAATCCCAACACTTCCAAGCCAAACCCAAAGATGTTTGATTCAGGTGGGTACTCAGTGGGGGTCGGGGAGGAGGTTTCCGGAAATTCCAAGTTGGTGGGGGTTCGGGGGGGGAGGTTTCCAAAGATGTCAGAAAACCATAGAGAACCGGCCTGCTCCACGTTTCCTTCGGCCGCGGCATTGATGAAGGTGGTGGACATGTGCGCGGTGCGATTCAGGAGCCTGAGGCTCGCGTTGAGGGCTAGAGGGCTGGGGATCTCACCCCATGGACCTGGGAGAGGAGGTTGTGGAGAGGAGGGGGGGGGGACAAATGGAGGGAGGGGGGAGGGAGGAGGCTATGGAGCTGGGGGAGAGGAGAGGAAAAGGGAGGGTGCAAAAAGCAAATTAAACCCCTTGAGAAGGCGGGTTTTGGAGGCTAATCCTTGGCTGATAGGCTGGACTGTCCAGGCCTTGGCCGCCAACCCTTGGAAGATCCTTGCCAGAGGACTGGGCCAGAGGACCCACGAATGGAAGTTGCCTCTGGGCTTGAGGGGGAGGGGAAAGGCGGAGGGCATGGATTTCTTCAAAATCTGCCTTCATTCTGTCCTCGCAGGGGTAAAATGCAATTGCTTTACACCCCCCCCCCGTTTCTGGCCTCCAGTCTGGTTGGTACCCCTATAAATCCCAAACAGAGTCCCATTTTGGTTAAACTCCCCCCCCCCTCGATGCGAGCAATGGTTCAAATCCAAACTAATGTTTGGGAGTCGAGTCCCACCATGTTACAATGTTAAGGGAAACTCCCACTGATGAGCCGTGTGAGCCCCCAAAAGCGACCGCCTTGATCGATTGAAACGTCCCTGACTTTCCCTTCAAAACCGATCCAACTTGCGACATCCAGATCCCCGTCCCACCGTAAGCTGCCTGGCAACTGCAAAGGCAGAAGTGCCTCAAAAGGTGTCACCCTAAATCTACCCCCCTTTTGTTGCTTGTTGGCTATTTGAAACAGGAAAGTCTCCGTGAAAACACGAAAAAGGGCAACATTGGAGCTAGGGTCACCAAGGATTCAAAAGTCAGGTTGCCGTTGGCCCCTCTGCAGCAAGTTTAACTTTTTGTGAGTCCAATGGAAAGCCCAGTGCTTCCTAACAAGTTAAAACCAAATGGCCACAAAGGCTCTAGCCTGGCAGCTAAAGTTTAAAGCAAGGCAGCAGAGCAGCCTGCAACATTCCCACGCATCCCTCCGAAAGTTTTGCCGGAGCACCCCGTGTGCAGCCTCAACCGTGTGCCCCGAATTGTCCACTGAACAAGTGGCGACGTGTAACAATGGCCTAAATCCCCGGTGGCGTCCTCATGGAATCCGTTTAGTGCAATGGTTGATTCGAAACCACCCCATTTTCCCGGTGCTCTGAAGAGAGTGGACATGGAAGGTTCGGCAAGGTTCCAATCCCCAGAGAGTTTCACCCTCCCTCTTGGTTGTTTGGCTCGGCGGTTTAGAGGGGTGGGTGGTTTCCCATGTACCCCTCACTCACTTCCTGCGTGGATGGGCCAAAACAAGTCCAAACTGTTTTGAGTTCTACAAAAATGGTCTCCCCAACAAGTAAAGTCCGCGAACTCAGGAAGTGAGTGGGATCCAAATCCCCAAACCCCCGATCCAATCCACCAGCTAGGGGTCCAACACGAACCGGACGGGGGGAAGATGCATAGATCCGAGCGGCGTTTGACGCACTGATTCCCGCATCATCTGGAAAAGCTCGGTGTCTTCCTGACGCGGAAGGCCGGGGTCTGCTCCCAACATATGTTCAATTTTGGAGTAGGCTAAGTACAGAACAGAGCCTGATACGCCCACGTGGTATCTCCAAGCTGTCGGGGAAAAATGAGAACTTTTGGGTACCCCAGATATGCAAAGCGTTTGGGGAGCACGCTCCTGAAGGGCCACAGGGTGCCTTTGCTTCCAGGAAGATGCGCGATCAACACTTGGTTATACTTGACCAAACTTAGACACCCTGCAAGCAACTTTTTGGGCTGTTCAACGCAAACCGTCAATATCCGAGCGGCTTGACATGGGCAGACGAATTCTGCCAACGTTGACGTGCTTGCAGGTGCTACTGGCGGGGGGGTGGGGTGCGTTCAATTCAAGACTCCCTGCGTTGCTTTTGAAAGGCTCCAGCCGTTGTTCACCATGAAGATCCCTGATCCCACTTTGTAATCCCGAAGCAAAGACATAGGTGGCCTTTCTTAAACATAGATGGCCCTGGTAAACGAAACAAAACCCATCTGAACCAGTGCCATCTATTTCTAACCAGGCTCACCTAAAAAGGACACCTATGACCATAACACATCGATTTTGCAGAGAGCTGCGTCGATTCCGAAGCCTCAAGCTTCAGAAGCCCAGGCCCCAAACCGATGTGGGCTGTCCGCTTTCTGATCCCCACGTGAACAACTTTGAGTGGGTGAACATGGAAACCCTTTCACTAAACCAGCTTTAAACAAAAACGCCTTAAAACCCAATGGGCGGCTGGGAACCGCCAAGTATTGAGTCACTTTTTGGCTCGAGTCAAGGGCTCTGTGCCACAGGTTGGGACACTTGGACGCCCTGTAGGTTCAAAGGCGCCTGGAAAGGGCTTGTGTCAATTGAATACTTGGGTTACGCGCTTCCTTTATCTTCGGGCTCTTTCCGGGACAACAAAAAATGGCAGCAGATTCTGAAACAACCAAGTCTAGCAGGGCCGTCGAGCTGTTTTCTACCAAGCCAAGCCTCGAAAAGGACACCGAAAGTGGGACGTCTGGACGCCTGCCCCGGCGACCCGGGCGACCCGGAATTCGAATTCCCGCCTGGCCGTCGTGCGCATTTTCCCGCTTCATATCTAGCCCGTTCAGCGTGAGCTGCATGCTGTGGGCGGCATTTTGCAGGAGCTGATCCTTAGAGACGCCCCATGTATATGACTTGCTTCCAACAGGGATCCTTACATTACCTTGTAAATGGATGTATCCCTTTATTTTGGTGGAAAAAGCAATCTTTTAAGGAGCCCTGTTCCAAACGAGTGGATCGCGAAAGAAGGAGGGCCTTTGCCAACCCCCCCCCCCAAAAAAAAAAAGGAGGGGGGGGGGGGGTCCAAATCAACCCAAGTATGGTTGTTCTTCTCAATTCCTTAAGCTCACTTCCTGAGTGGACAGGCCAAACAAAGTCAGGACTTTATATTGAATTCTAAAACAGTCTGCCCAAAAAGCGACTAAAGTCCAGGAACTCAGTGCGGGAGCAAGGATGAATCCAAAAACCATCTGCTTTACAAGGGGGTACGTCTTATACTAGCTGGGTGCTTTGTGATCTGATGGCTGGCCCCAGCTGCTTTCAGGGTTCACGTCTCCTGGCGTCCCCCAACCAAAGACAAGCTATCCCAACAAGGTACCAAACAAACTACGTTTTCAGCACTCCCGAGCACTCCTCCCTTGAGATTCTGAATTGGACACCCTGTTGATTTGTATTTAGAAGGGGGGACAGCCCCAAGTTGAGAACGCACCAAATGGAAAATCACTGGCGATCGGAACCCATGATTGCCCCCCTTTTTTTCTGAACCCTCTCAACGGGTCACCATCTTCAGCACTCTTTAAGGTTCCCAGAGCTTCCTCTTCATGGGTTTTCTGATGCTCTGAGTCTACTCCACCCTAAACAATATGGCAACATCTGGACGAATAACGTTTCACCAACCGCAAACAAGGAGCCCCCCAGATAGGAACCTTCTTGACGTCACAACCCTAACATGAGCGGCGCCCAAAGCCCATTAACTGTTGGTTGTACTTTCAGGTGGTAAAGGCACAGCCCTTACTAAAAACAGACATGAAATCAGGCATGACCAGTAAAATACTGTCGATCGACAAAATTTTGCACCACCTAAGAAACCCTGGAATGATGACCCCCCTGTAAGTACCAACCAACAATGGATTGAATTTCGAGGTGCAGATGGATTTTCGCAACCATCCACTGTATGGCCAAAGGGGTTGTTTCATTGTCCCCTTTAACACCACAAAAACAAGTACTCTCAAAAGCAGGAGCCGCACTCATATGCCCAACAATTGGATTTGTGGCAACACGCGCCAAGCGCCCAAAAAATCTGCAAACTTTAATACAATTCCAAAAACTAATTGAATAATGCCAAGTAATGACTTTCGCTCGGCTCTCTCATTTTCTTAGGGGCAACCCCAACGTGCTTGGTTTCCAGGTAATTTTCCTTTAAAAAACCAAGAAGGGGTTCTTTCCCTTCAAAACCACCCATCTCAAAAAAAAGGAGGAGCCACAGCCATATGGCCAAACCCAGAAACTTGTGGCCTTACCCTTTTTTTTTCTCCGCCCGCCCGACCTCTCACGGCTCGGGTTCCGGGTTACGGTTCCCCTCGGCTCCAGAAGTGGCCGAAGGCGCGTGGTCCTCGTCCAGGTTGGCCATGACCTTCTCGAAGCCGTGGCGGCTCATCCGCAGCACCGAGCTCTCCACCCCCGCGCGGGAGCGCACCTCGGGGTGTCGGCGGACGTCTCGCGGGTTTTGGTCTTTTTGGGTTGGGACCCCCGCTGGCTTGGTTGGGTTAAAAGGGAAACCCACCGGAACACCGAAGCCATTGGGGGCTGTTCAGGGAAGCCCCCTTCTTCTTCTTCTTTTTTTTTGGGGGGGGGTTGGCTGGCTTTTGTATTTTTGGAAACCAAAAGGAAAACTGGGGACCCCACCAAAAAACAAAAGGAAAGGACACAGTGCGGGTGATCAAGGGACCAAAGCAGGGACTGACTTAAGGTGGCTAGCTTGTAGGTTGCTGTTTTCAGTTGTTTGCTGGTTGCAGTTGGTTCATGTTTTTAGTTGTTTGATGCTGGTTTCATGGCTTTGGTTGCCTAGTTGTTGCTGCCAGGCGGCTGACCCGCAGGACCCTTATGTTCAAAAGAAAGGATCCCCAAGTAAGGGACGGCATGGTGAGTTGGTTCTACCCCTGGGCGGGAATCGCTCGCTAGTCTCTTTGGGATTGCCTTAAAGGGGTTTAAACCAACAAGGAAAAACCGTGTTTTTTTTTGGGGGGGGGGCTGCTTCAAGGCACACGCAAACGGAACCCGAGAACTGCCAAGAGGCTCTGTTTCGGCCAGTTTTCCGAGCGTGGCTGGAGGGCATGTGTCTCAAACTCCCCCAACAAAACAAGTCTGGGTGACATCCCAGCGGCCCAGCAGCCCGCAACCATGCGGCCTCCCTATCTTAGGCCTCTCGACCCCGAAGCTTGTAGGTGGCCCTTTGGGGTAAAACTGGCTTCGATGCCTCAAGGCACATCTCCCAACCTGGGAATCACGAAAGTTGCCCTGGCGGTCCATGTCCTTTCGACATGGCCCAAACAAAAACCGGTAGGAACTGTGCACAGAGGGGGGCCGGAGACCCCCTCCCTGTACATTCGGGGTGGGCATAGACATGATGCTCCATGACCATGCGCGCATGTCCAATTTTGATTGGCCCTTGCCCCCGTGAAAAAGCAATGAACATACAGCAATCCGAGGGCGCCACATCACGAGGGGGTCAAACCAAATACTAGTTGCCGCAAACCACTTCCCTCATGGGAACATGGGGTGTAAAAACTTGACTTTTGTGAATATGTGAATGCCCATTGTATGCACATACCTCATTGGCCAAGTCCAAACGCGTTGTTTGCCACTCAAATTGCCCTCCCCAGTGATCCACAAACTCAGGGGCCCGGAAGAAGAACGTGCCATATTGTGCGCTTTTCCCGGTTCACCTGGCTTACAGCAAAGCGGGCCACGGAATAGAGGTGTGGCATCTTCAGCAAGAACGACACCTCGCCCACCGCCGTCGGCTCGTTTGCTCGATCCTCGGGGGTGGCCAACCGACCCCGCTTTGCGGGCAAAACAGGTGGGGTGAAAAAAACAGGGCCCCCCTTCCCCCGACCAGATGGAGAAATTACGGGGATGGCGGATTTTGGGGGGAACCGTTCGTTCTTTTGCCCTTGTTCCAATTTGCCTAATCCACTATTGGTTCAACATGTTTGATCCACTATTGGCTCAGCATGTTTAAGCCAGCATTGTGCCCACATGTTTCAATCGCTATCGGCTCAGTATGATTGAAACACTTGCGTTTTACAACATGTTGAAAACAGGTACTGACAGTGACTCCCTTTCATGCAGGTGAAACACAGTTCCGGGGAAAACTCCTGCTTCAAACGAAAGCAAATAAAAAATGGTGCATCTTTTGAGCCCTGGCAACTTAAAACACATCTGGCAAAGGGATCTCACTACCTGAGCTCCCCAAAAGAAAAAGTCCAAGTTGCTAGGCCGCTCGAATGGTCTTCCCCAAAAGTCCCCAGTCCAGGAGCTCAGGGAGTGAGGGCTTTGCAAACGCACGCATACTTGGAATGGCGCTGTGGCGTGGCGGAGAGAAGGAAAAAAGAAGAAGAACTGGGCTTGCCCTCACATCCCTGAAAGTGAATAACTTTTAGTGGGTGAAATGGAAACTACCACTAAACACTAAAACCTAAAAGGAAAAGGGGATGGCTGGGAGCCACAAGCAAATTGAGTCACACTGTGGATGGACGAAATCCATTTCGCACCACCTAAGAAACTCTGGAAAGATTTGATTCCCTCCACGGAAGTACCAACACACCTTATGGTTGCAACCATGACTTCATTTCGTGGTGCCCGCAGGATTTCGCAAAGCATCCACAGGACCGCAACATGTTAATCATCCGACCCCTATCCAAAAACCTCCTGTCGGGTGTCTTAAGCAAACGCCGCCCAACTCTGATATTTACCTTTCGGAAAACTTGTATCCGCTTCTCATTGTGGCCATGAGAACACACTATGAAAATAGACGGCCCCCGAGTAAAGAGGTCAACACCTAAAGGGGAAGTTGTGGCATCTACTTGCACTCAACTCTCTCTCTCTCTCTCTCTCTCTCTCTCTCTCTCTCTCCCTCTGCAGCACCGTCCCTGTCAGGCAGCCTCCACTAGACACGAACTTAGCACGGTAGCCCTCATTGGTGAGGCCCCCGACTACTTGGCCCTTGATCACTTCTGCTCATCCATTTGGGTGTCTGTTTTTGGGGACCTCTCAAAATTGTGGTTTCCCTTTTTGTTTCCCTTTAATACCACGGGGGGGAAAAAACGACATCCTCAAAAAGAGACACACGCAAATCGAGGGATTCCCAACTAAAGGGGACACAAACAAAACCAACAACAACAGAGGTTGAAGATAAAAATGGGTCGAGATTTAATTTGGGATTGTTTTTGCTTTATTTTGGGATTTTGTTTTTGTATTTTACGCGTCCGTCAACATCATCAGCATCGTTTTCAACATCCCCCGCATGTCCAGCCAACATCGCCAGCATCACCAGCAAATTGGCTTCCCGCATCTCATGGTAAAAGTGAGGATTCAATTTCAGGCGCGGGGGGTTGGGGGTGGCAGCCCCCCTTGGGGGGGGCGGCAGCCCCCCCATGATGATCGAAAAATTAGGGGCAAAGAATCTAAAAAGACGCGGTCGCATGATGATCGAAAAAGTGATGATTCAATTATGGGCAAAAAGTCCAAAAATAGCGGGGGGGTTGGGGGGGGGGCGGCAGCCCCCCCCATGATGATTGGCGGCAGCCCCCCCCATGATGATCGAAAAAGTGATGATTCAATCAGGGGCAAAAAGTCTAAAAAATAGCGGGGGTTGGGGGGGGCGGCAGCCCCCCCCATGATGATCGAACAATTAGGGGCAAAGAATCTAAAAAGTAGCGGTCGCATGATGATCGAAAAAGTGATGATTCAATTAGGGGCAAAAAGTCCAAACAATAGCCTTGGGGTTGGGGGGGGGGCTGTCCCCCACGATGATTGAAAAAGTGATGATTCAATGAGGGCCAAAAAATATTTAAAAAAAAGCAGCGGGGGGGTCATCAGTTCCTCTGCGGCAAGGCCTCATGGTACAAGTGAGGGTTCAAATACGGGCAAACTAATCCCTGCAGATCGAAAAAGTGATGATTCAATCAGGGGCAAAAAGTCTAAAACATAGCGGGGGGGTTGGGGGGGGCGGCAGCCCCCCCATGATGATCGAACAATTAGGGGCAAAGAATCTAAAAAGTAGCGGTCGCATGATGATCGAAAAAGTGATGATTCAAATAGGGGCAAAAAGTCCAAAAAATAGCGGGGGGGTTGGGGGGGGGCGGCAGCCCCCCCCCACGATGATTGAAAAAGTGATGATTCAATTAGGGCCAAAAAAAATAAAAAAAGCAGCGGGGGGGTCATCAGTTCCTCTGCGGCAAGGCCTCATGGTACAAGTGAGGATTCAATCACGGGCAAACTAATCCCTGTAAAACGGCAGCCAAAGAATCTAAAAAGCAGCTGCCGCATGATGATCGAAAAAGTGATGATTCAATTAGGCGTGTATTTTAATCGAAAGGGGGGTGGCGGGGGGCATGCAGGAAGCCAAGGCCAAAAACCAACTGGGAAAGCACAGGATGCGAAAAGCCAAAGCCAGAAAGCCGCCAAAAGCCACAAAGCCAAAAAGCCAGCGGAACTGGCAATGCAGAGGATGCGAAAGAGAGGAACTGTGAATGCAGAGGATGCGAAATGAAAAGCCACAAAAGCCACAAAAGCCACAAAAGCCACAAAAACCCACGTAAAAGCCACAAAAGCCAAAAAGCCGAAAAGCCACCCACCCTGAAAAACAAAAATAATTCCTAAAAAAAAACGGAAAAATCCTAAAAAAAATGGCCCTCCGATAAACATTGTTGGGTCCCCTGCCCGGGTGACCAACCCCGAAAGAGGGAGACGTGACAGGGCGACCCGGCGAGCCCTGCCCGCTTCGATCGCCGAAAGTCGCTCCGCGCATAGCGCACCAGCTGCTCCTGTCGCATGAATTCAGACAGAGAGAAAGAAATAGAGCAATAGAGAGGCAGAGAGATACCGAGATAAGTTAGAGAGCCAGAGGAGAGATGGAGAGAGAAACCTGCATATATATATATATATATACATTTAGAAAAGAAAAACATATAGATTGATGGATGGATAGTTGGATGAGGCATACTTGGTTCCCCTAGGCGTGGGAGAAGTAGTGAATCCCATTGCTGCGGGATACTTTGTGAGTCACCACGGTCCCTCTGGCGCTCTGCGCATCGGCTTGGGGCAAGGAGAAGCTCAAGGGAAACCAACTCCAAAGGTCTGACTTGTATACATGCATACACCCATGCATACGTAAGCACGAATGAATGCACCTATGTATGAATGCATGGATAAATGCATGTATGCATTTTATGCATGTACGCATGCATGTGTGTATGTATCTATGTATGTGTGTGTGTACGAGTGTATGCCTGTATGTGACGTGTGCATGTGTGCATGCCTCGTTCATGCGTGTGTAGATGTGTTGGTGTGTATGTGTGCGCGTGTACGCGTGTATGTGTGTGTGTGTGGATGGTGTATGCATCTATGTATGTGTGTAGGCGTGTGTGTGTGTATGTGTGTATGCGTGTATGGGTTGTTGCATGGATGCGTGGATGACTTGTATGTGTGTATGGGTGTATGCGCGGATGCGTGTTTGCATGTTTGTATGCGTGTACGTGTTCATGCATGCATGCATGCATGCATGATGTATGTATGTATGTATGTATGTATGTATGTGTATGTATATGTATGTATGTATATGTATGTATGTATGTATGTATGTATGTATGTATGTATGTATGTATGTATGTATGTATGTATGTATGTATGTATGTATGTATGTATGTATGTATGTATGTATGTATGTATGTATGTATGTATGTATGTATGTATGTATGTATGTATGTATGTATGTATGTATGTATGTATGTATGTATGTATGTATGTATGTATGTATGTATGTATGTATGTATGTATGTATGTATGTATGTATGTATGTATGTATGTATGTATGTAATGTATGTATGCATGTATGTCTGTATGATGTATGTATGTTTGTATGTCTGCCTGTCTCTGTCTGTGTGCAAGGCACCAGGTTAAGGTCTTAGTAAGGCCTCACAACTGCTGGAAAGAGGCCAGTTCAATTTATGATGTAAACAACTTGCTTGGGTGCGGCTTGAGCTACATTGAGAAAAAATCACATACTTGGCAGCAACAAGTTTCCTGGAGGCAAGACAAAACTAGTTCTAAAGTGCTACCAAGTGCTGCCAGACTGGCCTTAAAATTATTCAAAGAGAGGGATTGTTTTCTGAGAAAAGGGATAAGTAATCCGTAATTGATGGAAACGACATGTTAGAAGTTCTTTAGCCTCATATTGCCATCCAAAGGACACAAAACAACACCCCGTCCGCCCATTTGACACCAGCCTTTTCGCCCACACGCACACACCCAAAAAAAACTCAAGAGCCTGGCAGGTAAGCATCAAGGTCCCCGTCTCCAAAAAGCAGAGCTCCTGGCCAAACGCCGAAAGCGCTGACGTCCCCAGGTGACATTTAGATAAATTTTGGCGAGCTGAATGGTTCAAGGCCCAAACCAGGGTACTGGGCGACCAAAACATTCCGGTTTTTCCCGGGCACGTTCTGAAGAAACCAAGAAGATAGCTCCCTCCATCCTAGACTATTGGAAGCTGACAGGATGGTTCCACTTCCCATGACTGTTGGAAACAGGGTAGATCAGGACCGGATTTCCAACCAGATCCAAAGTAGATCAATTTACGGGTGGTTTCCGTTAAAAAACGATGCTCGGAAACCCTGTCAAACTGGACACCGCGACCAACAGGCGAAATTGGAGAACACCCTCAACATGTGACCACTTTAAGGGACTCCGCGTCTCCATGTGCAACGTGTTTTCTGCTTCAAGGTGAGATTGTCCTAATCCTTCCCTTAGGGGAATTGAGCGACCTGGGATACTCAGGGACTCCAGTGGGCTTTTGTTGGCAGAGAGGGCATCAAGAGCAAGTGCCACACATACCCCACTCCGGAGAGATTGCACTTCACACCATTCAATTCAGGTACCCCATAAAAGGGCGGTTTGGATTGGTGGGGTTTGGCCCAGTTCTTTTTGACACCAAATGGGGCAACCCCCGCACATCCAAAGCACCAAGCCAACACGACCAATCAGGAATCAGGTGAACCATGCCTGTATTCAGACCATCCCTTGTTTCTATGGAAAGCAAAACCAGGGACATCCATTCAGCGATCCCCTGAAATTTGGATCTGGACGGGGTCGCTCTTTCTCCTTTGTTGTGTTCCTCTCCTCGCTTCCTGAGTGCATTGGCCGAAAAAGTCCAAACTTTTATGTACCACTAACATGGTCAAAAAGCTTAAAGTTCCAAGCTGTTATTTACCACTAACATGGTCAAAAAGCTAAAGGTCCAGGAACTCAACAAGTGAGTCTCTACTTTATCTCTCTATTTCTATTTCACCCAACCGACCAAAGCGAGAGGCCTTCACGGGCGCTCTGAGTCGCCCCGTCGCCCTGTCCTGTGGCGCGTCATTCTCGCAGAAGAGAATCTCCGAGGGCTGCAGCACCATGACCTGACCGCGCGCTCCAACAGAACCCCCCTTTTGGTGGTGTTGAGCCCGGTGGCTTGGTGCAAAGGAGTGGTTTGCCATGCAAAGCCTCAAGTCCCCCAACCAAGCCACCAATGGGCCACCAGGAAAAGGCCAAGCCCTGGAGTCAAACCAAGCGCCCAAGCTGCTTCACATCACTCTTAGTGCACCCTTTTCCAGGAGTCGCTTTTTCATCCAAGCGCATCGCAGCAACAAGACCTGCATCAGGAGACCATGTTCGATCCTAAGCACATCTTGCGTGAAATGTGGAAATGTAGCCAATGACCAAGCACCCTAGGGTGACACTGAGAAACATGCTCGACCAATGGATGTGAGAAACATGGGATCAACCAAGGCAAAAGGACTGAAAGGAATGGCGACATTGTAACAACTCGCAAATTCTGTGATGCCAGAACTGGGCCACCATCACACCATATTATTCGCATTGCGAACCTCCCAAAAAACAATGTCCACAGCGAATCGCAAGGCAAGGCCGGGTTTTCACCATTGGCCATGCAGCGGCTATAGAACTGCCACCCCTGCGATTGAAATTCCGAAACGAAGGCCTGGGGTCCACACCGCGAAGTTTGTCTCGAAGCGCCCAAATGGAAAATCCTTCCACGTGAATGTGAAGCCATGGGGGAGATGGAGGTCCTCCAGTAGAGAGGTCAGAATAAGGGTACCAACTTTTGTTTTTATATGTAGTCCTTTTAGTAGGGGAACCCCCCCCCCAAAAAAAAAATGATAAAAAGTGCACCTAGCTGGGGGACCTTGTGGATCAAACTCAGAACATCATTTGAAAGGCAAAGTTGAGCGCCGTTTTCCTTGTAACAGTTTCATCGCGCTACCCAACAAACAACAGAAGAACAAGAGAATAGGAACATGCGCTGTCTTCCCAGACCGTTTCAAGGGCAAGTCCAGTAACAACCAACAAGAAACTGGAATTTGTAGCTTTCCAGATTCCAGGGGTGAAGGTCATTTCATAGAGGGTAATTAACATGGGACCCTTCTGACCATTTTCCTGAGGAAACCAGCTGGGTCCATTCAAATGACGTCCCTCTAAAAGGTGAATCAAAACAAAATCACAGAACATTTTGAGAACGGCGCAAAGCTCTTGCCACTTTACTAACTCCGAATCAACATTTGTCTGGTTCTGTTTGCTTGGACGTCAGAATATGGGTGGCTCGTCTTTTTTAGTTGGACCCCCACAAAATGGTGGTTTTCCTATGGGCTTCCCTTTGAGCACCTGCAAAAAAAGGGTACCAACTTAAAACCAAACAAAAACAGATGAGCCACCCAAATGATTTCAGAGATTCCAGTTGGAGGGACCAAAGCCCATCCAATCGGAGGTACCTCTAGGTGGTCGATGATCTGGAGCATGAAATCCGAAGATGCCCCGCTCAGCAGCTTCTCGTTGGCCTGGATGATGGGCAAGTACACCTGCGCCCGTTCCATACAAAATAGAACAAGAGGGGAGGGGACCCTGGCATGAGCGGGTGCCCATTGAACTCCTTGTGCAACAAACGTGCCCTCCAGGCACGCTTTGGAGTAGTAATTGGGTTGCGCATTTTTGAGGTGTTGTGGTATGAAGGTACTTGCCATGGTGTCAAGAGTCATACAGTCGGGTACCCCAAGTGGTCCCTTGCCTTTGGGACTTCCTACTTCAACGGTGCTGTTTTCCTTAAAGGGAACGTCCAAAAGCTGCCTGGGTGTCTTTTTGGCGGGCTACCCTTTTGGGGGTCGATTTGAAAAGAAACCCAAAGGACAACCACATCTTTTCGGGGGGGTCCGATTCCTAAAAAAAAGGTACCCAGTGCGAGGTTGTTTCTGTTGCGTTTGGGCTGCGTTTTGGTGTTTCTCAGCGCTACCACCCTCTAAACAAGACATATCCATGGCTGTCTGTTCAGATAGGAATCCCAACAATAGAGGCTTCTTTGACCCCCCCGCCTTTCATTCTGGTTTCCAAATAGACCAAGCCCAAAAACGGAAACCAACTCAAGAAAGACAACCACATTGTGGTTTTCCGTTTTGTCCCTTCTAAAACCCAGCCCAAACAAGGGTACCAACTCAAAAAAGGAATAGGAATCGGACCCCCATGTATTTCCTTTTGGCCCCCTGGCAAACCCCAAAAACAACACCCAAATGTCTTTGGTTTTCCTTTTTGTTGTTCTTTTAGTTTCCTTTTAAAGGGGTCAGCTTTCGGGCAGCGGCCTGTTCCTTGACCTTCTTCTGCATGTCCGGGGCAAAGGTTTTGAGCACCACTTCGCGGTTGCCCACATCCCGGGCTTTGGACCACTGGAACATGCAGTGCTGTCCTCAGCTTTTTGGGTGACCTTTGGACAAATCCATGGATTTTCCTCATGGAATAAATAACGCCATTTGTTTCTGGCCTTTTGGAGAAGTGGGGGTTGATCAAAAGGTCCGATATACATGGGACCCGTTGGTTGGAAAGTTACTAAACATATAATCTGTCAACCACTAAATGGGGCCAGTATAGATATTTGGGGGCCAAACAGTTTGATCAAATGGGCCTGGTACATGGGTGGTACATGGGGCATAAAACCCGTCGAGACTCTGGTTCTACCTGGGTCGCAATCCAGACCTTCGGGTAAAGGAAAATACGTTCACCTAGTTTTCCCATCTGCCCTCAACAGACCCATGGACTTTTGGTGCCAAGGTGGCGATAAAGGTTTGCTGGACTGGGAAAACTCGAGTGTCGACCTTACTAACTGGGTGGCCGACATGGGTCACAGCTAGCTGGGCCAAACAAATCCGGGCCGCTGCAAGTTTTCTTGGTAGGGACAATTCTGGAAAACCAGGCAGGGTCACCTACCCAAATCCACGTAAAGAAACAACAGGGCGGATATCCACACACACAATTCTGGCTGGGACTGCCCCGTTTCCCCTCCAATTACCCGGATTTTGATTTTGGCTCACATGGGTTCGCATCGGCTGAGAACTACGAGGCGAGTCGAATCAACCGGTTCTTCAGCGGTGCAATGGAGTCAAACACCCCCAAGTTTGGTAACTGGCTTAGGTCGAATCCACCGAAGACCAGCGGTGCGATGGAGTCAACACGCCCCAAGTTTGGGGAACATCTGCGAATACCCGGGGGCGGGCATTCCAACTGAAGCGATAGCTAGGAGTCGGGTGAAACGGCACCTCCGTTAGCTTTGGCTTTGTCCGTGCTCAAGTGAGTTGAGTCATCATAACAACTCGGTACAAACATATACAAAAACGGTGAACCCAAAACCATGTAAAGGATATCCGCACCTATGTATGGTTGGGAGTGTCCCCCTGCTAACCTTTGTCTGCCCTGGTGTGGCGCACTCAAGCGTGACATTCTCAACTTTGTCCAACGTTGACTCAACATGAAGTGAAATCTGAGAATCGACAGGTCAAGAAGTCCACCACTGGTACACACCGGCACGCCAGAAAGGACACCACCCTTGTGATACCAAATATGGGCCATTCCCATGACTACTTTATCACTTGCGGATTCCCTTTGAAGGGGGACTACCATACATGGGTGTGCCTTTGGCAGAGCCCCCCCCCCAAAAGCAAGCAGCTTTCCTTTTCCGCGGCTGCCCCACATGAAAGACCCCGAAAGTCCACCCGTCCGACATAAAAATGTCGAGCCTTCCCAAAAGTCACATTTCCTTGAGATAAACTACGCAGCTGCCAGAAGATCTATCAAGCTGCCAGGTTTCGAACAAGCTGCCATCATGCAACTGTCTCCTCCTCCCGGAATAAACCACAAATTGTGCTTCTTACCCGCTTTTATCCACCTTCATGTGTCTTCCTACTTGCGCTTCTGTGCTTTTCCTAGTCTCCCCCATGTTAGTCAACCCTAGTTCATTGTTAGGGGGGTGCTTTTCCCTGAATATAGTGGGGAATCATCACTTTTGGAGGGGCCACCCCCCTGTTAGTAAACTGAGGTTGATCAATATGGGGTCAATATTAGCTGCTTCCCCCTTGCCCCCGCAAGGCCGCAAGGCCGCGTCCGGGTCCAAGGGACTGATAGACTTGCGGATGCTGGGTGGCAGGTCCAATGCGATGCCTCGAACCCCACAAATCCCAGGCAAAGGGTAAGCAAACAAAGTCAGCGCCGGTTCACCCGAGCTGACCTGTGGATCTACGAAAAGAAAACCAACCTTGGTACTTGGCTGGAATTAGGACCCCTGCAAAAATCATATTTTTTGCCTGGTGGTGGAAAAAAAGGGAACCCCCAAAAAGCAAAACAACAAAACAAAAAAAGGGAACTAATTCTGCCCTGTTTATGTGCTTTCTTTTCTTCTTTCTTTAAACGAACACATATTGGTTCTGCGAAAAGGAAGCCAGCAACTTGTTTGCCCACTTATGTTTTTATTCAGCATTTATTTAGCCCCGTTGCTTGGCTCTCTTGTTTGGAACCCAAATTGGCAGAAACATGATTAGGACAAATTCAGGCCTCACTTTAACCTCTTTGAGCCAGGTAGACCGCCTGCTCAAATTGCCTTGTTTTTCTGGAGGTTTGGGGTTGGGCACTGCTCAAATGGTGGCGAAAGTGGGTGGGGGGACCCACATTAATCAAGTACATTATTATACCCGTTGTTGCTGTTTGGTGCGAAGGGAAGCCAATAGGCAAAATCGGAAATTGGTGCCAACATTAAACCAAATGACCTTATCCTGGGAGAATTCGTGTGCAATTGTTCAGCCCTTCACTCATTTCCAAAGTGCTCACAAAGTGGCCAAAGTCCAGAAACTCAGAGTACGGGCGGATATTTACATTGTGATTTGATGTCCACACCGATCCTTTAAAGGAAACACCCTGTAGGCATTGGCCTTGTGCGAGTGCCAGACAACTTGCAAACAAAAACTGGGCTGTCCCCAGACCCCCTGCAAAAAGTTTAGCTTCTAGTGGGCTAAATGAGAAACCCCACTGAACCCGAAAAAACACCTCAGAACAAACACTAAAGGGGACGGCTAGGAACCACCAAGAAAAGCAAGATATATTTCAAAGGCAGTGAGGCTGGAAGTGAGACGGTCTGCACCCCCATCAGGAATGCCAGCTGGCTTGCCCATTGGACTCCATGGGATGCAACAAGCTCATCTCTTTTAGAGATTCCGGTGGCAAGCTGCTGGGCTGACCTGACAGAAAATGGTCATCCAGATGGCTTTGGAAAATCAGACCACTTGAGAAAGGTCCCTTCAAAATATATGGGGAGCCCACCTCCAGAAGTAGTGGTTGGGACCCCTCGAAAAGTGCCCTGGGACCCAGCGAGGACTTGGAGCGGGCGACATACCAAGTCAGCTTGAGTCATCAGCAGCTCCATCTCCCGGTCCAAATCCTTCTTGGTCTCTTGGAGCTTGAAGAAGGAGCCAATGACATAGGACTTCCTAAGCACACCGGAAGTTTCTCAAGTTCTGATTCTCACCACCAAGGGTTTAACTCCTAAAACCACCAGGATGTCAAAACATGCCAAAAGAAGTATCCCGTTCTGGCAGGTCCTTCAATCAAAAGCTGCAGGACCCGTCCCAGTTCGAAGCGATCCCGTACCCAGCTTGCAATTTGAACAGGCGGGAATTCTCTGCTGAAAAGTGGCGTGTCGAAGGGTCATCCCAGTTTGAGAACCCCCCAAAGCCAAACATGTGGGGCCCAAATAGACACACACGCCAAGTTGACCCAATATAGTTAGTAATCTGCAAGTCAGCCCCGCCCAAGTATGTCTGACGGAGCCCACTCCACATTCTGACTCTAATAAGCCTTGGCCACAGTCGCACTGGCCCCCATCTATCACGCATCTGGAGGTTGATTCCCTATCCTTTCATTCCTTAAGCTAAACACAGATCCAGCAGTGATCAAGTCCCTTAAAAACCAGTGACAAAAACAAGAACAAAACACATCTTAAGCGCAAATGGAAGCTCAGCCGTTCCGCGGAAGCTTGTACAGGGGGAAAAGCGATCCGCACTCTGCTGGGTTGATTTAAAAGGGGTCAGCCTAAGGGAATCTGATTTCCTCAAAAGGGAGGCCCTGAGGTTCAAGTCTGTTGCACACCCTGCCAAGCGCTATAGCACCCCTATAAAGAAGCTTAGGCCCCGCAAAAGGAAGATGTTGGGGTGTGGGGTCGGGGTCTATGGTGAAATCCTTTGACCTCAGGTAGTAACAAGATGGGAACACCACGGGTGCCCGGGCTATGCTCCAAACCGGACGTCATCCACACGTCAATGCTTGCGCTCGGCAGATGCAGCCAAGATTCATGGCTAACAAACCTGCGCAAATAAACCTCGGTGCGCGCAAAGTGCCCTTTTCCAACCCCTGGAAGCAGCTAGCAACAAGCTTCACTTTTGCAGCTACGGCTGAGCAGAACAGCAGCGAACAACTAAAACCCATGCACCAAGAAGAGCAAGGCGTGCGGATTGTCACTGGGAACAACGCCAGTTCAGTCCCATTTCCGCGCAGCTCCTTCCATTTCGGGGCGAGGAATTGAATAGGCACCCAGTGAGTTGGTGAGTTGGTGGCCCCGCACTTGGCCGATGAACAGTTCGCACGCGAACTCCTAAAGCACGCCTCGCCAGCTACAACGTCTCTTCATGCGGATGAGCTGGTAATTTTATATCCTATCCTCCTGACGCCCGTTTTGGTGCATGCCATCCCCTTACGTACACGGGAATTGTGATATCTACTTGCAACCTCTTTAGGGGTGCCGTTTCAAGGGGAAACCTCTGTGAGTTGATTCGAAGCAGTTCTTGTGGGAGTTTGCTTGGGGACCGAGGATTTCATACCTTTTGGGTTCCTTGCTGTCGTGTGATGTCCCTTGTTAATTTGCACGAGGCGAAAACATGTTGAAACCTACCCGAAACCAACCCAAGCCAAACCGCGGCTTGAGGGATCTGCAACCTGAGAAACACATCCAGGCGGTGCTTTCCAGGATCTCGCTAAACTGTTCTGGCTAATCGGTAGGCCAAGGGCCAACTTCAGCAAGCTGCATTTGCTTACAGTATATCTAAAATCACCTGAATAGTACATATAATGGAATTAATGGCTTCTATGGGTTCACATATACATGAATCATATAAACAAGCAAATCGAAAACGGCAATACAATGATGAGGGATCCCCAAGTCACGAACCTTCGTGATCATGGTCAGCTGGTTTAACCCCAGGCGAGCCCACCATGCAATAGGCAGAGGAGTTGCCATCCTTCCAACCAAACAGTTGGGCGCGATACCAAGAGGGCAAGGAAGGCCAGTTAACGACGCGAATGGATTGTATAGGGAACATCTTCTTCCATCACAAGCACCGAAGGTTACAACCGTTGCAATTGCAAAGAACAACAAGTTGGCACACCCTGTCACAGCGAGGACTGGCAGCAAAGAAATTGACGGCCTCGGCTACTGCGCTTCTTGGCCGCTTGCAAGCAGCCGGACCCGCATAAGTGCCCCTTGGCCGGCTAGCAAGCAATTTGTGCCCCACATGCTTCCTACAATTGTAAAAGCCCTCCCCCTCTCATGAACCCACCAAAAGGTGCTGAGTGCCCACTAGGCCTCATTAGGCCCTATTTACAAGGCCTTATTGGGTTTGGATACGTGCATGTGTAGTTTGTACGATGCATGAACAATATATGTATATACAAATTTTATATTATCTATACATATGCATATACATAAAATGATACGTAAATACATGTGTTGGGCAGGTGGGTCCGACGGTTTTCGCCCCTTGGGACTGGCCGCATCGCCAGTACCAGCTCCTCGACCCTCTCCGGCTTAGAGCCCTCAAAGTTCCTGATGCGCTGCGAAGCGACCGACATGGGAAATTGGTTTTGCTGCCGTGGATCCCTTTGCAGCCCTTAATTTGTAGTTTGGATTTGTGGTTTGGATGGATTGTCAGCTTCCGAAAATGAAAAACAAAAAAAAGAAACAAACGCGACAGAAATGTGTTTTGGTGCCGTGGGTCGTATTGTTCGCAGCTTCCCCCGAATTTGTTTGGTTTGGATTGTTGGTTTGGATGGAATTGTCAGCTTCACCCGAACAAAAATGGTGGTTTGGAGATTCGTGGTTTGGATCGAAGTGACATTGCACCTCTGGTTCTTGCAGAGGATAGATGGGACACCACTCCCGAACCATCCCTAACCACCAAAAAGCAAAATCGAACTGCCAACCAGAGGGAAGCAGACAGTTTCTAGGAAGGACGGATAGTTATTCAGCCACACGCGGGCACATGGACATCTTGCTTTACCAGAGAAAAGTGCAGGGTAACATGAACCTAGGAAACATTCCGAAGCGGGCTTTCTCTTGCGGCTATTCCCATTTTACAAAGAGTGACCAAAAAAAAGGAAAAAGACACACACACACACATTATCCACCTAAACCCAGCTTAGACCAACCCCGAAACCAATCGCAAACAAACCGTGAACGGTTTAAACCACCCCCCTTGAAAAGAAGCCTCATGGCCACTATAGAGAGCATACAAATCTAGCTTGGGCGTTGTGTGCATGATAGAACCCGGGGCCGCCTGTCCCCGCGAGTTCCTAGACGAATCTCCAAGAAATATAATTTCACATGTTTTTGCGCCGTGGCTACGAGCTTGGTCGCACTAAGCCTAAATACTAAGGCAGCAGCAATCGGCTGCTGATCCTGCCACAGTTAGACTGGCCTACGCAGGCATGCGCAGGCATACGCAGGCCCTCTCCCCTTACAACAACGGAAGCCTAAACCAGGACTAAGAGCCCATATGATGCCAGCCACGTCAGCTTCCTCCGAGACCAACTTTTGCAAGAACCAACACCAAAACCCAAACCAAACCAACCAAACCAAACCCAAACCCAAACCAACCAAAAACAAAACTAAACCAAAAACAAAACAACACCAAAAACAAAACCAAACCAAAAACAAAACCCAAACCAAACCAAACCAACCAAACCAAACCAAAAACAAAACCCAAACCAAACCAAACCAACCAAACCAAACCAAAAACAAAACCAAACCAAAAACAAAACCAAACCAAGCACAAAACCACACCAATAAGAAACAAACCAAACATGGACATGGGCGACCAACTTTTTAGCGCAAGCCCCAAATGGCTTCGTTCTTCCTTTGGGTTCCCCTGAAAAACCAACCCCAAAAGACCACCCGATCCTCAAAAAACAGGAACCACCCTGCACACCCAGATTGCTCATGGCCGAAACCTACGGGAGTTCTTGGGGTGGATAAAGGTTCTCCAAGATAGGCACCCCTGGCGGTTGGTCAAGTTGGCAAGTTGTTGGTGAGCTAGGTGATAACCCACTCATGAGGCCACCAAGATAAATTAACCCTGTTTTCAGTGGGTTGGCCAACCACTTCCAACTTGGCCCAACATCCAAGTTATCCCCGTTTTGAGACTGACCCGTGGAGAAAAGCAAAACCGGGGCATGGGAGGCACTCGGAATCCAATGACATCTGAGTCTCTTTCCGAAAGCCTTGTAGTAGGCTGCCTCGCGAGGCGATCGAACAATCCGTGCGCAAATTGGCAAATTGGCAAATCGCCCCCACAGGGTGTTGGCGCCTGAAAAAAGAAAAAACCGGTCAAACAAAGCGAAAAGTTTGGGTGTGACAGTGCGCAACCCAGTGCAAATGTGCACCCCGCCAGGGGTTTAGACGTCCACTCTTTGACCACGCATTTCTCAGGCGAATGGGCTCCTCGCTGCATGGGTCCTGAAAGCAACGCCCCGGCCCCTGCTCCTACTCAAAAGTAAAGAAGACTCGTGTTTTCTCTGTGAACCGCTAGCTTCCTAGTGTTGCTCATTCCGAGTGGCCAACGGGCGCTGGTTGACAACAAAAGGATTTCCAGGGGTCGGCATGAAAGGATTTGTTTCTGTCAGGAAGGGGATGTCTTCAATTTCTGTGAGCGTAGCCAGACAGTTCCTTACCCGAATGCTTCTCAGGTACACTTCAGTTCACTCCCTGAGTTCCTGCACTTTGAACTTTTTGGGAAGACAATTTTAGTGGTAAACTGACAGTTTCAACTTTTTGTGGCTCATCCACTGAGGAAGTGAGTGAAGGAGTTCAATAACTCTGTGCCTCTCCTCAAGGGGAGACAAACAAGAATCAGTTTTTCTCAACAATTCGGTGTTCCAACATGTTCAGACGAAGCCGTTTGCCGAATCCGAAGCTCCTATATAGGAAGCGTCAGCCTTTTCCCCCTAGTCCCCACGCTCCGCCAGCAGCTTTCTGGCAACGTCTGAAAGCTGGAGCCGTGGCTGATTCGCAGCGTCTACCTTACCCTAATTCTTTTTTAGAGACCATTTCTGGGATGGGATCCCCAGGCTGGCAAACATCTATTAAGCTTGTACACT